TGGGCTCAGCAGATCAAACCCAGGTCCTCAGGCCTGGCAGCAAGCATGCTTACCCACTAAGCCATTTTGCTGGCCCCAGATAATTCTATTTTATTCTATTTTAGGTTGACCATCTTAAATGAAATCCACAACTCTCAATGGAGGGGCTGGGAAGATGGCTCAGTTTGTAAACTGCTTGTTAGGCAAGCATGAGGAATTGAGTTCCCATCCCCAGCACTGTGGAAGCAGATGTCAGTAATCACACCAGTGGGCTGGCAGAAACAGGAAGATCCCTGGGGCTAACTAACCAGCCAGTCTAGCTAATGCAGTGATCTGCAGGTTCAGTGAGAGGCCGTATCTCAAAAGAAGGTGAAGCTGACCAGATAGTTCAGTGGGTAAAGGTGCCTGCTGCCAAGCCTGATGACTTGAGTTTGATCCCCCTGGAACTCACATGATGGTAGGAGAGAGCCCACTCCTTCAAGTTGTCCCCTGACCTCCACACATTGCATGTGGTACATGCTGAATCACACACAAGAGAGGGAAGGAAGGAAGGAAGGAAGGAAGGAAGGAAGGAAGGAAGGAAGGAAGTTAGTTCTGTCCCATATACAGGTCTTATCTTCTAGTTTTTATATATAGGAGTAAAGGGGCCCCATGAGAGGGATATAAAAGAGGCTTTAAGGGGGTGCAATAGGGAGAGCAATAGAACACATGTGATATGAAAGTAAAAAGAGTAGTGATAGGGGTTTAGATAAGAAGGATTTAAGCCAGTTATGGTGGCACATTCCTTTAGTCCCAGCACTCAGGAGGCAGAGGCAGGTGGATTTCTGTGAGTTCAAGGTCAGCCTGGTCTACATAGTGAGTTCCAGCCCAGCTGGGGCTATAGGGAGACCCTGTCTCTCAAAAAGACCAAAAAAAGAAAAGAAAAGAAAAGAAAAGAAAAGAAAAGAAGAGGAGAGAGAGAGAGAGAGAGAGAGAGAGAGAGAGAGAGAGAGAGAGAGAAAGGATTTAGGGCAAGAAGGGGGACAGGATTTTGGGGTCTCAGGTGAGAGGTCTACTAAAACCTAAGTGGTATAAAAATGCCATAAGGAACCAAAACAAAACAAAAATGCTGGGCCGGGTGTGGTGGCTCATGCTTTTAATCTCAGCACTGGGGAGGCAGAGGCAGGTGGATCTCTGTGAGTTCAAAGCCAGCCTGGTCTACATAGTGAGAGCCAGACCAGCTGGGGCTACAGAGTGACCCTGTCTCAAAAAGACCACACACACAAAAAAAAGCTGTAGGGAAACCTGCTACTTTGCATGCTAATAAAAGTAATCAAAACAAAAATCTAGGTGTCATATGGCATGCCTATAATCCTAGCACATGGAGGTAGAGGCAAGACTATCTGTTCAAAGACAGCTTCAGGTACATACCAGGTTTGAGGCCAGTGTGACAGCATAAGGTATGAATAATGTCTATGTGTATGTGCATTTCTGCACGTCTCCTGTTCAAGCCCTCATGGTCTCCTCCTCCTACCCCTTGCCAGCATTCCAGACATTTTGTATCCTCTTACGGTATTTTATTTACTTATTTTTATTTTTATTTTATGTGTATGAGTGTTTTGCTTGTACATAAGTGCACTTGTGCAATGCCCATGGAGAGGGTGTCAGATCCCATGTAACTGGAGTTAAAGATTGTTAACCACCATGTAGGTGTTGGGGACCAAACCCAGGCCCTCAGAAAGAGCAGCCAGTGCTCTTAATCTCTGAGCCATCTCTCCAGCCCCCCATATATATATTTGGGGGGGTTCTTTTTGAAACAGGGTCCAGGGTCTCCCTGTAGCCCTAGCTGGCCTGGATTCACTATGGAGACCAGGCTGGCCTCAAACTCACAGAGATCCACCTGCCTCTGCCTCTCAAGTGCTGGGCTCAAAGGCGTGCACCACCATGCCCGGCTCTTATAGTATTTTCAAAGTGTACACCATTATCTATAGGGGACAAGAAAGCAAAAAGGTACAACAGGCTGAATTTTTCTTTGTTCGGGAACCCACTCTCTCAGGAACTGTTTGGTACAATAAAGTGCTTCCTGCTTGGTCTTGGGATCCCATTTCAGTTCAGAATGCTATTCCGGCCAGAGGTACATGAGACTCTGTCTCAAAAGTCAAAACCCACAGACTATCTCACTCTTGAGCTCAAGGGTTGTTCTCTCTCCTCCTTTCACATGGTTCCTTCCCTAGATTAGTGCAGATCAGTATTTGGCTGATAATCTGCACTGCAGATTTTTGGAAGTTTCTCTCTGTGAAGTTCTCTCTTCTCTAGGTATCTTTCCTGAAGACTGGCTTCCCTGGCTTCTCTAATTCCCCCAGCTTCACCTTCTCAGAGAGTCTGCCACATCTCATTGGGGTTTCTCCTCACCTCAGGGTCTGTAAACTCCCCAGGCAGTTATTAGGGGTGACCCATGGGACTCACCGCCTTCCTCAAGGATCATCAGCTTCATATCCAGTGTCTTGAATGCCAATGGCTCACATATTCTGTAAAGTTTTTTAAATTTCTTCCTGACTGGACCTTGTTATTTCATCTTGACTAAAATGGAAGACAAATCTAATTTTATTTATTTGATTTGATTTTGATTTTTTGAGACAGGGTCTTCCTGTAGCTTCAGCTGGCCTGGAACTCACTAAGTAGACCAGGCTGGCCTCCATCTCAGAAAGATCCACCTGCCTCTGCCTGCAGAGTGCTGGGATTAAAGGTGTGTATCACCACACCCAGCAACAAATCTAATTTTAAAATATTTATAGTCAGATGGGGCAATCCTGTTCTTGAGGATTATATAGGAGGACTGCTATGAGTTTAAGGCTAACTTGGGCTACATAGTGAGTGAGGCTCTGGAAAGAAAGAGAGAAAGTCTAATGGTGTGTGCTCACGACACAGGTCCTGGGTGTGAACTGCCAGGCTGTGAATGTACACCGGCCCTCCTCATCCCTTAGCTGCCATTGACGTGTCTTCTTGCCTGCTCCCACACACCATGCCAATTGAATGTGGTTTCTGACGTCTTGTCTGTGCAATGCCTATGCAAAGCCACGTGGTCAATGTCTCCAAAGCCTAGGAAGTGTAATTTATGCTTTTAACTCTATCTTTCTGATATCACAGAAGCAGTTTTCTTCCTTTCTATTTCCATAGCATCACATTTGGCTTTTTAGTAAATACACTGAGGTCAAACCTTGCACCTTACAAGGTCATAGACAAGCAGCCCCAAACAAAAAGAGAAAAAAAGATAGAAAGCAATTTAGGGCCAGGCATGGTGGCGCACGCCTTTAATTCTAGCACTCGGGAGGCAGAGGCAGGCGGATCTCTGTGAGTTCAAGACCAGACTGGTCTACATAGCGAGTTCCAGGTCAGCTGAGGCTACAGGGAGACCCTGCCTCAAAAAGCCCAAAAAGAAAAAAAAAAGAAAAGAAAGCAATTGAGGAAGACAACCACTGTTGACATCTAGCCTCAACATGCACATGAACACAAGGACAGGCACATCTACACATGTGCACTCACACAAACCCAGACACACAAAGATCATAGTTCAGAAGGTAGAGGAAAAAGGAGTAGACATAAACAGAGGAAAAATAAGATCAGACTTGTGTTGGTCACAGACAGATTTGAGGAAGACAAAGCGTGTCAAACTATTTTCACTGACGCTGTTTTCAAACTATGGCTTGTGACCCTTTAATGAATGGATTGCAGCCAATCAGTTTTCAGTAGGACATAATCATAGAGAACAGAAGAGAACTAGTAAGAGGTAAATATTATTTCACGTCTGTATACATCAGGTATAAAATGTATTTACTATGAGTTAAAAATCACAGTTTGAGAGTTCCTGACTTATGGGGCTGTTTATAATCAAAAAGGGAAGAGCCAGCATACTGATTGCATGCCTGTAATCCTAGCACTCAGGAGGTAAGAAGATCAAAAGTTCAAGGTCAGACACTGCCTAGTAAAAAAGAAGCCAGGTGTGGTTAATCCCAGCATTCAAGAGGCAATGGATCTCTGTGAGTTCCAGACCACCCTGATCTACATAGAGAGTTCCAGGCCAGCTAGGGCTACAAGGAGACCCTGTCTCAAAAGCAAAAAGAAATGAAATAACTGCTGAAACATGGAAGCAACTAAGATGTCCTTCAGGAGGTAAATGGACAAATAAACAGTGCATGCAGACAATGAAATATTGTTCACTACTAAAAAAAGAAGCTATCAAGCAATGAAAAGACATAGAGGAAACATAAGTATTACTAAATGAAAGTAACCAATCTGAAAAGACCACATACTATATGATCCCAACAATATGACATTTTGAAAAAGGAGAAATTATGGAGACAATAAAAAGATCAGGAGTTGTGGGAGAAGAGGAAGCAGAAGGCAAGCACAGGGCATTCCAGGGGCCCTGAAACTACTCTATATGATATATAATGGTGGGTGAACACCACTGCAAATTGGTCTGATCACCACCAAGAGCAGAGCATAGTGTAAACTCTGGACTCTGGGTGTCAGTGATGTTATAAATGTACCACTAGAGAGAGATGCTGCTCACAGGGGCAGGGGAGGAGATACTTTTTCTTTTGTTTGTTTGGTGTTTTGAGATGTAGTCTCATTGTAAGGACTGGAGAGATGGTTCAGCAGTTAAGAGCGTTGGCTGTTCTTGCAGAAGACTCTGGTTCAAATCCCACCCACATAGCAGCTAACAACTTTCCGAAATTCCAGTTCCAGGGGACCCAACACCTTCTTCTGTCCTCTGAGGGGATTGTATGACAGGACATGTATATATAATAAAATAAAAATAATATTTTTTAAAAGTCTCATTGTAGCCCAGGTTAGCCTTGAAATCACTCAAGACTGGCCTTGAACTTCTGACTTTCCACTTTCCCGCCCCTACCTCCCAAGCACTGAGATTAAGGTTTGTGCCACCACACTGAATTTATTTTTAAAAACTATTTGAATAAGATTCTTCCCCGCCTCTCCCTCTCAACAACAAAAAAATACAATAATACCCAGGACCATCCTGCTTTCTGCTTTATTTTCCATGGAGCTGGTTTCCATCCACACCTCTGATCTCATCCATGCTGATTCCAGGGTCCAGGTTTTCAGGTCTGGGGTGCATGTCAGGTGAAGTCCTACCCACACCATCCCTAGTGGCCAGTCCCCCCACCCACCCATCCACAACAGCTTGATGGAGTCTCTGTAAACCGGGCATGCTCTTACTCCCTAAAAGAAGGAATTCAAGGATGAAAAATGCACGTGCTTCATATCCTCATACTGCACCTGAACTACAACAACATGCTAAAGAGGCTACTTGTCTTTCTAGACTGGAAAGAAGGCTGCCTGCAAAAGGGAGGAGAGACAATTGGGAGACGGTTGGTTGTTGTTGGTGTTGCTCTTTTTGTTTGCTTTTTGTTTGTTTTTAAATGAATGGTATAGAAGTAAGAGAGAAATTCTGGAATCTGTAGAGTCCCTAGGGAACGACCACACCACTACCCCACCTCCTTTCATCTTGCACTGGCACTCCCTACCCCAGACTTCAGGAGAACACTCGAGCCATCTTTTCTGTCTATTCCATCCACAAGCCACCCCCCAGTCTCACTCTATCTGCTCACAGATTCCTGACTCCACCTAGTGAGTCCTGCCTGTGTCTTCTTAATTGACTTTACCTCAAATGCTCTATGCCCCATGGGACTCCCTAGTGTTGGTCACCATTGGGTAAAGGGAGACATCCATTCCATTCCTAAGGTGCTTTCCCAAGTCCTTTCTCCCAAGCCCCATCCTTCATTACCCACAACTCACAACAGATAAATCCCGTTGTCTCTGAGGGTACACAGTGAGTGTGCCTCACTCCTGCATGCTGAGGATTCGAAGTAGGATATTGTACACATCCTGTTCCATGTAGCCCTGTGGGTCACAGGAAAGACATGCAAAACGATGAAGAAAAAAAGATGATGAAGAACAGAAATGGGGAGAGGCAGGTGAGGGAATGATTCTGTGGTATAGCAGAATACTATTGATCACATATCCTAACCTGTAATGTTCAACAACTTTTGCTTATCTGGTTTTTGCCATACTGGGGACTAAACAGGGCTTCATACAAACTAGGCAAGTGCTCTGTCATTGACTCACTTATAACTTTATTTAAACTTTCTCATGGCTGTTTCTCTGTCTTCACAAGGAAGAGAATGATGCTTCCTTTGCAGGATTGGTGTGAGGGCTACAACCATGGGAATGAAGCAAACATCTGGTGCATAATTGGTGTTCTGTCCCTTGTAGTTATTATCCCTAATAAAGGAGCCAACCACTCACCTTCTTTAAGGCCAAGTCACCTCAGAGGCAACAGAAGGGTATAGAGACCAGGAAAAAACCTCATAACAGATTAGGGAATTGAAAAAGAGAAACACTTCTCTCCCTTTCACATTGACACACAGCCTCTCTTGATTTACTTAATGAGATCCAGAGACCTGAGACGACCACAGCAGCATCCTTTACCCAGCTCTGTATCCCTACTTCCTCCCAAGTTCCACCATGCTCACCCGGGCGGCATTCAGCAGGTGACTCCTATAGGTGGAGATGATCTCTTCATGGTTCTTCTGGGAATCCTGGGAAGGAGCATCAATAAGAAGTCATGTACCCACCCTTCCCACACTTAGCATACATACAGAGGGATAAAGAGAAGCTTTATTAGGCTGGCTCCATTGGATCTCCACTGGTCCAGCCTGGACCACTGCCTGGCCAGTCTCCTGAAACTCCCAGAATGTCTGTCACATATCCATCACTTCCGCTGCCCACCTTCTTCTGTATCTCTGTCCATTTCCCATAGGGCCAAAACATACCTGCAGTTGCAGGGCAAGGTGGGTATTCTCTCCCCGAACTGCCAGGACTTCTTCTGAAAGCTGCTCCAACTTCTTCAACAATTCCTTGATCTGGGCCAAAAGGAAAGAAAGAGACCCAAGTAATTTTCCCCCAGACACCCAAAGTCAAGATCGAGTTCCTTTGACTGGTATTTAATACGTGCGAGATATTTTTATACATATTGTCTACATGAGCCATGTAATGCTCAATCCAGTCTTTCTTCTGAAAACCAGGCTTCTCTGAGGAAAGGGCTATTATCCACTTTTTGTGGGTAGGCAGCTGAGTTTAATAATTTTTCAAAATCATACAGCTAATAAGTAATAAAATCATGATTTGAGTCAAGATCTCCTGATTTCATAGTTCATGATCTTAAGTCTGTACTGGATCTTAACCCACTTCTGGCTGCTGATCACTGAGGGAAAAGTTTTTGTAGCTTGTGAGGTAGAGGTATAAATGCAGTTAATACTAACCAGAAGTAACAAAAATGATGGTAGTGGGAAAGACAAAAGCAACTTTTTACTGAGTACTTATCATCTGCCCAAAATTATTCTATTTTAAATAATTCTTTGTGAGACAGGTTCTCATGCAACCCAAGCTAGCCTCAAACACACTATGTAGCCAAAGATGACCTTGAATTTCTGATTCTCCTTCCTCTGACTCTGTTTTTAAAAATTATTTTTTAAATATTTTATTATTTTTATTTTATGTGTATGAGTGTATTTTCTGCATGTATGTGAGTGCACCCATGTTGTGCAATGCCAGGGAGGTCAGAAGAAGGCTTCAGATTCCCCTGGAAATGGAGTTAAGGATGGTTAGTAGCCGCCATGTGGGTGTTGGGAATTGAACCCAGGTCCTCTGCAAGAGCAGTCAGTGCTCTTAACTGCTAAGCCATCTCTCCAGCCCCTTAAAAATTTATTTTTATGTATTTATTTTAATTTTATTTGTATGAGTGTTTTGCTTGCATGTATGTAAGTGTACCACATATATGCAATGCCCACAGAAGCTAGAAGAGGGCATTGGATCCCCTGGAACTGGAGTTAAGGATGGATGTTAGCTGCCATGTGGGTGCTGGGAACTGAACCTAGTCCCTCTGCAAGAGCAGGCATTGCTCTTAACTGCTGAGCTGTTGCTCCAGGCTCTTCTACCTCTTTCTTTTCTTTTACTTTTCTTTTTCCTCTTTTTTATTTCATTTTATTTTTTTTTTTTATTTTTCAAAAAAAAAAAATAATATATATATATATATATATATTATGAGTGCTGTGCCTGCAGAGACCAGAAGAGGGCATTAGATTACCCAGAACTGGAGTTACGCAGCCCCATATGGGCACTGGGAACCTGACTGAATTTTCTGCAAGAGCAGTACAGGCTCTTCTTAACTGCTCAGCCATCTCCCCATGTTTATGCAGTGTCCAGGATCCAACCCAGGGCCTATGTCTGTTAAGCAAAGCACTCTACCAACCAGCTACATCCCCAGCCCCACCCCAAATAAGTTTAATAAAATCCCTACAACCACCATATTAATAACTTCATTATATGGATGAGAAAACTGGGATTTAAGAAATATTCAATAGCCTGCCCAAGATCAGTCAGCTAGTAAGATTTTTGTTATTGTTTTATTTGCAATGCTGGAGGTTTAACCTAAGACCTTCATACATGGTAGGCAAACATTCCACCATTGAGCTATATCCTTAGCCTAAGATTTTGTCTTTGTGTGTGTGTATGTGTGTGTGTGTTAATGTTACCAGCATGTACCACCACACCCCACTTCCCAGTTTAAGTCTTGGAACTAAAATTCAAATCCAGTCTCACTCCAGAGAACACATTCCCAACTACTTCACTCCTTTGCCAGTTATATACTTTCAGCTTTGTCAAAAGAACACAAAAGTCCTCCTTTAATTAACTCCATTCTACAATGATGCCTACTTGGGATAACATTTTTTTCTCCTGTGTTTATGGACTGCATACTAGGTAAAAGGCATGTTGTTTAATACTTTTTTAATGATTCCAAATTTGAACATGCATACAGGAATGTTTGTTTGTTTGTTTGTTTGGAGACAGGGTCTCACTATGCAGCCCTGGCAAGCCTGGAACTCTCTGCCTGGCCTCAAACTCAAGAGATCCTCCTGCCTCTGCCACCCAAGTGCTGGGATTAAAGGCATATGCCATAGTGCCCAGCATGTAAGCAAGTTTTGTGTGTGTTGTTGTTTATTTGTTTTGGGGGGTGGGTTTTTTTGGTTTTTGAGATAGGGTCATTGTAGCCCCAACTAGCCTGGAATTTGCCATGTAGACAAGGCTGGCCTGGATCTCACAGAGATTCCCCCTGCCTCTGCCTCTCAAGTGCTGGGATTAAAGGCTACAAGTTTTAATAAGAAGTCTGAATTCATTCATTTTACAGGTAGTTCTACAATTACTAAATTCATTTGTAAATTGATGTTTTGTAATTTGCAATATGTCTCATTGTAGAACAGCACTAAGAAAATAGTGGATTTCAAACTTGGTTGTTGTTTGGTTTGGTGTCTTGAGATGGTCTCATGAAGCCCAGGGTAGCTTGGAACTTGCTATGTAGCTGAACATGACCCTGAACCCCCAGATCCTCCTGCTTCCACCTGTGCTGGGATTACTGGCAGCCACTACCCTCAACGTCAAACTTTTTCTTTGCTTTGGTGTTCGATAATCCAAAAGAAATCGTTTGTGGGACCCACTGGGAACGAGGAGGGAAGAGCAACTATGGGTCTACGTAACCCAAAAGACTCTGAGTCACTACAGAACCTCAACAAAACCACAGAAACTCATTACACCACTAAGCCTCTGGCTAGGCTAAATACAAGGTCAAGTCAAAATTCTATCAAGTCTTGGTGCCCTGTGGTAGCCCTGGGATACTGCTTCTGAGCCCCGAGTCCTAAATTTTAGTACCTAAGCCCTTTTCTCGGATTTTTTTTTAAATCTCTCTCTTCTATCTATGCCCTACCTCAGATCCAATCTCAACCCCAAACCTCTGTGCCCCAGGGAAACAATGCGGTATCCTGTACCTGTTTGGCACTCGATTTAGGGTACTAATCTGACCAAACAAAAGTTGCCAGGTTCATGCTGGCAACCCGCAAAACACACAGGAACTTTTCGCGATGCTCCCACAGCTGCCCACCTTGGCTTCCTTGTCCCGGCACGCTCCAATGAGATGGTCCATCTTCTCTTTCAGCAGTTCCGCGGTTTTCTCGAACTGCTCGGAGCGCCCACGCATCTCACAGGTCTGGCGCTCCTGCTCCGCTGCCCGTGCAGCCAGGTCCTCGCTGCGGCGGCGCTCCTCTGCTGCAGCATCCCGCAGCCGACCCATTTCCCGACAGGCTGTGTTATACTTTTCCAGCACAACTTTTAGCTCCTGGCCCCAAGCCTGGGCCTGGGCCACCAGAGATCCTCGAGTTTTCTCATGCTGCCGCAGGCTGGCTGCCTCCCGGGCCCTCAGCTCTGCCACTTCCTCCGTGGCTTGGTAGAGCAGCTTTTTCAACTTCCCGATCTCCTGGCTCTTCCCACTCATCGTGGCCTGGACCGCCCGCAGCTCCTCCTCCAGCATCCCCAGATCTTGCTCCAGGGCGGCCACTTGAGGGGATGCTGTAGCCTTTGAGGAGGCCTCTGGCTCCCCACATGGGGTCAAGGATCCCCTCAGCTGCTGGTTTTCCTCCTGTAGCTGAGCCAGCATCTGCTGGGCCTCTCGGTGTTTATCCACCAGGGTACTGATGCAGGTCTGCAGCTCCTCCAGGGGTTCTGCAGCTGTATTCTGTACCCTCCCCTTGCTCACCAGGTCTGCGGGCAGGCAGTCCCACAGTCCTTGGAGGCCACTACTCTGTGAGGCCAGTCGCCGGCGCAGCTTCTCTGTGGCCTCTTTCTCCACCGCCAGTTCCTCCTTCAGCAGCCCCATGCTGCGCCGCAACTGCTGTAGCTGGACTTGTGCCTCCGGCTTGGGCACAAACTCCCGCTGTAACCTCTGGCTCAGGGACTGCAGCTCGCCCTGTAACCTCTGCCTCTCTCGTCCCAACTCTCCCAACTCCTCCAGCAAGTTACTGTTGCTCAGTCTCAGGGCTGACACCTCTTTCTCCAGCTGTCCTTTTGCTGGGCCTCCTCCCGAAGCTTGTTCTCCAGGGGCCCCTAGAGGCTCTCCTCTGGCTCCAGGAGCCCCTTTCTTTTCTTCCAGTTCTTTGATGCACCCTGGGGCCACCTTTGGAGCAGGGGCCTCAGGTTTCACTTGCAATCCTGCCTTTGCCCTATCTAGCCTCACCAGCACTCTCTCCAGCCGGGCCTCCATCTTCTCCCAGGCAGCTGCTGCAGCCTCAGCCCTGGGAGTCCCCAAGGCTCCTTCCAGAAATGGTCTTGACAAAGCCCCTCTGGCAGCATCCTTTTCTCGCCACACTGCAGCCAGCTCTTCCATCAGTTGTAGAAGGAGCTGGTTCATGGCTGTTGTACTCACTGGTTCTGCCATTAGGCCTACTGGTTCAATTCCTAGAACCTGGGACCTCTCCTTTTGGTCAGCACACACCTTGTCAATATCATCAAGGTCAAGGGCCTGCCCCCTATTGGTGGTCAGTTGCTGTCCTGTGGCTTTCCCAGTGGTCTCAGACCTTGGGCTCTGGGGTAGCCCCTGTGGTTCAAGTACTTCACACTGGATCTCTGCTGGGGCTGACTCTCCAACACTCTTGGAGACTAATGGGTTTACTGTGGCTCTTGACTGCTGTTGCTTCTTTAGCTCTTGGATACGCTCAACCAGCAGGTTCAGGGGACACCCCTCCTCCATACCATCTCCTCCAGGCCTTAGACCCAGGCCCTGTCTTGCTGGAGCTCCAGGCTCTTGGGATAGGAGAAGTCCTAGTTCTTGTACCTGCTCTCGAATCTGGTTCTCCAAGCCCAAGAAGGCTGCAGCTTGAACCTTGCACTCTTCCATCTTTCGTACTAGCTCCTGCTCTAACTGAGAAACTTTCTTCCTTTCCTCTTCATACTTCCACCTCCATTCGTCTGAGTACCGCTCTTCATCCTCCTCTTCCTCCTGCTCTTCCTCAGGCTCTGCTCTCCATGAACTCTTAGGTGGAGAACCCAATAGAGGCTCAGATGGAGAGGTCTATGTCAAAGAAACCAAAACAGAACAGTGGTGTGAGGCTATGAAGCTAGTTGCCCCTGAAGGGCCTTTCTTTTCTGAGAGCATCTTGATGCCCCAAGGGACCACTGGAATAGCCTGGGATGGGTCAGAACAGAGGGGAGATACTTAGGGTCATACCTGTGATGCATGATCTGGATACTGAACAAGCCTAGGACCTGTTTAAGTGAAGACATGGAACAAATGAGAATTCAGCTGTCACCCAGTTTTTACAGAGAAAAAGTGACCACTTTGCTGTGACAACCCTCACCATACATACATATTCCTGGTGCCACCCTTGTTCCATGAATCCCTAGCTATCCAGCAACTTTGGTTTCCTATGCCAGAGATGGAGTGCTCATTCATTTGGTTCACTTGTTTCTTTTATTGATCATAGTGCCAGGTACCACTAAAGACACTGGGACATGGATGGGGGCAAAATAGAAATGGCCTGTCATCTGAGGGACCCACAGTCTAGCGCAGGAGGACTGGCCAGTAAGTCACAGACACACTCATAAACGTCAACACCACCACCAGCCAGAGTTGCACTCAATGAGCAAAAGTTGCATTGATGGATTTGTGGCTGTGCTTTGGGGAATATGGGATTATCTCACAGTAGCAGCAATATATAAGTAAACCTCAACTAAGTTTGACATTTTTGTCTGATGGACTGTTTCCATGGGACATGGAATTCTTTAGAAGTTTCTTTATCTCTTTGGCTATTGAAGAGAATCTTACAATCACAGAAGGACTTTTACCACCTCTCCGCCGCCGGTTCAGGGCCTGCTGGAGCAGTGTCCACAGTGCCTGGTCTTGTGTACGCAGAGCATAATGCAGAGCATTATGCCCTGAGCTGTCAACTGCTCCAGCATCTGCTCCATGGCTCAGAAGCAGCTCAGCCACCTCAGCGCTGCCTTTCTCACAGGCCAGGATCAGAGCTGATCTGTGAGTGGAGATAAATTTGAGCACCAGCTTTCCCTCATGGTTCTAGAAGTTTCACTTACAGGGAAAGCTCTCACTCAGATGGAGTCAGAACAACAGATCAACACCAGCCAGTGACAAAACATTAGACCAGACCAGGATTTTCCCAGTGCTGTTCCTTGGAACTACAGCATCAGAAAGCAGGGACCAAATGAGAGGTCTCCATTTCTGTCTGCTTTTTATGATCCTCCTGCCTCAACCTCCTAAGTACTGAAACTACAGGTGTGCACCACCATACTCAGCTTCTACCTAAATTTAAAAAAAATGGATTCCATTGCTTAGGAAATAGCTTGACAACCAGCAAGTTAGACCAATAATTCCAGAAGCAGCCATTCTACTTCAGGGATCAACTATGCTAGCATGGCTAACTAGTCATGGCACAGCATAGCAAGCAGAGCTTTTTAAAATCATCACTGGGCCAGGCATGGTGGCGCACACCTTTAAACCCAGCACTCAGGAGGAAGAGGCGGGTGGATCTCTGTGAGTTCAAGGCCAGCCTGGTCCACATAGTGAATTCCAGGAGAGCTGGGGCTACAGAGAGACCCTGTCTCTAAAAGACATATATAAAAGACTGTTTTGATTTATTTGATTTATTAAAAATATAATAAAATAAAAATAAAACCATCACTGGGAAGGAAGGAAGCCCACAAGCACAGAGACTAGCCTGTCTTTCAGCATGCACACTGGCTCCTTTCTAAGACTAGTAAAGATCTGGATATTGGAATGGGAAGATGGGGATGGCTCACTTGTCATCCTTGTCTGTAACATTAACTCGGGCACCTCTCTGCAGCAGCTGTGAGCAGATAGCTGCATGACCACCCAGCGACGCGATCATCAGGGGTGTGCGTCCATCCTGCACAGATGGTGGGAAAGTGGGGGATCATGAGGAGCCAGAGAAAACCAAGGACTTGATACAACTCTATCGACTGACTCCCTTCTTCCCACATCCGTCCAAATAAAAGCTCAGATCCAGGCCCAAACACTCCTGTTTGAAGGGTTAGAAGCTCTCCAAAAGATAAGGCTTAGCTTCTCTGTGAAATAAAAGAGGAGGAATTGGGGGCTAGAGAGATGGCTCAGAGGTTAATAGCACTGGCTGCTCTTGCAGAGACCTCAGGTTCAGTTCCCAGCACCCACATGGCAGCTAACAACTGTCCGAAACCCCAGTTCCAGGGGCTCCGACACCCTATTCTGACCTCCACAGGCATTGCATGACATGGGTGCACTTACATACATGTAGCCAATACACTCATATACATAAAATAAAAATAATATTTTTTTAAAAAGAGGAGGAGGGACTGCTGGAGAGATGACTCAGTGGTTAAGAACACTGGATGTTCTTGCAGAAGACCCGGGTTCAAATCCCAGCACCCACATGGCAGCTAACAACTGTCCATAACTCCAGTTCCAGGGAATTCAACGACCTCTTCTGTCCTCCACAGGCATTGCATGACACAGGTGCACTTACAATATGCAGGCAATATATGCATACACATAAAATAAAAATAAAATATTTTTTAAAAAGAGGAGGAATGGGAGGGAGATCACAGAGTCCGGCCTATCAAACTCAGAGAAAACAGCAGCCACCTTGTGTGAGATGCTGTCCATTTGCCCATCTAACACTCACGTTATCCAACACATCTAGGAAAGCCTCGTGGTCACACAACAGGAGTACACTTGAGGCACAGCCAGAGGAGGCTAGAGGAATTGAAGGGTGGTTGGTTAAGGAGAAGTATGATTGGCATCCACTCAGGCTATAACCCAACATCTCCCACCATTACAGTAGTTTTCACCAGCTGTCCTGTTATCACCAAATGCTATCCTCCCATCCAGTTACCCTGTATTCCCTGCAAACTTATTCTCACCAGTCCCCTGGCACACACCTGCCCAATGTAATGGACTACGGTTTTCTGCATCCACAGCATCTTCATTAGCACCATGCTGTAAATAGCCACAAGGGGAAGCAACAATTGAGCTTGATGTTAACATCCTCATTCCACACCCCCTATTGAATCATCAGCTTCCAGGTTATCTGGGAAGGAGCAGGAGGACCATAGTTCTGGGGGAAGCCAACTACTTGACAAGCCCAGCCCACTTCTTGCAGATGATGGCCTTGAATTTCAGTCCTAGTTCTGGACTAGGCCAAAGGAAAAAACAGATGGTGAGTAAAGAAACATGTTAGGAGAAATGACACCTGAATTAGCTGGAACTTTAGGATGATTGTGTGAGATTTGGAAAGATCAGGAGAAATGAAAGAATAAACAGCATATGACACATGAATAATTTTTAGGCTGTTTGACTATATAACCCCCCACTAAAATATAGGTTTGAATTTTTTACATTTATTTATTTTGTGTATGTGTGTGAGAATCTGGGAGGGGGTGTTACATGTGGATCACATGGCAGTCAGAGGGCAACTCCCAAGCGTCAGTTCTCTCCTTCCACCATGTACATTCTGGGGACCAAACTCAGGTCATCAGGCTTGACACAAAGCACCTTCACATGCTGAGCCCTCTTGTTAGCCCCCCAAAACATTTCATTGATCTCTGCTCCCTTCCACCTGCCCATCTCCATAGCAATTTGTCTTTGCAAGTGACTCAGCCAATGGCAGAGATCAATAGTTCCCGGGGAATGTTTTGTGACCTGCCCTCAAAGACAGTATCAAGCATGATGCTGGCACAGAATAGATGTTAAATAAATGTTTGTGAACAAATTAATAAATGGATATTAGTTCTCTTACTAGGGTTAAGTCAGGTACGTTGACTATTGCTAGCAACTATAAGACAAAGTTAGGAGGACTCTGTGCCCACTTCTTCCCTGCAGAGGAGTAGTATCAAAGGACTGCTTTTACCTGAAGCAAGACCTTTACACACTGTGGCTGGCAGGAGATGGTGGCCAAATGCAGGGCGGTACTTCCTGGAAAGACAGAGAGAGGAAGAGAGGGAGAGAGAGGGTGGGTAGCCCCATGAATGTGGATGACTCATGGGGAGGGAGGCAAGAGACGCACAGATAATCAGAGGGAGATTAGAGAGAGAAGCTCTCAGCCACACAGGGCCAGAAATTCCTGTTCCCCAAGGAGCTGGTACATGTGATGGAGGTGAAGGTAGGGGTGAATTATACAGCTCAGAGGGAGGGGAACCTTAGGAGAGATGCTGGCCAGGATGGCAAAGAAGCAAAGCCCCACAGCTGGACTCGCCAGCAGGGCCCAGCATTGACCCGACTGCTGCTATAAAGAGTCAAGACCCAAGCAGAATGCAGGGTTGCTAACTCACCATCCTCATTCTTGCTGTTGATGTCAGCCCCATTTGCAAGCAGAACTGTCAGACACTCCGTCAAGCCTTTGGAGGCTGCCAGATGAAACCTGCCAGTATCAAAGCCAAGACCAAGAAAAGGGTGAAGGATCAGGAAATAAAAAGAGGGAGGCTCTTCGTTTGTTTTGTTTTGTTGAGACAGGGTCCCTCCTGGAGCCCCAGCTGGCCTGGAACTCACTATATACTCCAGGCTGACCTCCATGTCACAGGTTTGCTTTGGTCTCCTCAGTGTGGTAGGGATTAAAAGCCTGCACCACAACACCGTACTCCTATTTATTTTTCCTATTTATTTATAAATTTTTTATTGAATTTTTGTGTATTTCATACAGAACATCTTAATCATCTTTAAACCCCATCTTACTTATTTTAAGCATGTTTAACATTTAACTTATTCTGATCCATTTAAATTCAGAGTTTTAAAAGTTATTGTTTTATTTATTTATTCATATAGAGACAAGGTCTCACTCTGTAGGCCTGCTTGGTCTTGAACTCTTGATCCTCCTGACTCAGCCTCCCAAATGCTGGAATTACAAGCAGGAACTGCCACACCAGGCAAGGGGATAATACTGAGCACTGCTTGTTATGCTCCCTAGCCCAAAGGCAATCTCAAAAGCAGAAAGGGAAGCTCCCTAGCCTGTCTTGCTGAGAAGGCTGCCTCCATGGCCTACAGTCATGAAGTCAGAGGAAGCTACAGGAAAGCTAGAAATAAGAGCTATAAGTCTCAAGGAATTTCAGACTGTTGCAGGAGTGACCAGGGGACACATAATTACCTGCCTCCGAGTGCAGAACCTTTACAGAACTGGACCTATCAGAGAAGGGGTCAGCCAGAGCAGAGCAGAAAGCAGGTTTGGAGAGAAGAGAAGACCTTTGTCCTGAGGCTAACCTGTGAGGCTCCCATCTTGCTACTTCGTTCCTAATTTCCCAAGCATACACACCTTCCTACTTGTGTGGTGAAGAAACTTTGTTTAGCAATTAGGTCTCTGTTGGTTTAATGAGCTTTATATTCTTTCCAAGTCTGTACTGTCAATGTGGGTTGCACGGGCGGATGGAACTCAGGGATAGTATCTTCCTCCCTCATTTGTTCTGTGATAGACACCAGGCTAAAGTTTATCGGTATGCTTGTCAATTCAAAGAACAAAAGAGCTCTGAAGTTATAGGCAATCTCTGGTCATCCTGAGTTGGAAGTTTTCAAAAGGAACCACATACCGGGGTAGGGTCAAGAAGACTTACTTACGGGGACTGGCCGTTCGAGTCTAGCTTGGTGGGTCGGGCCAACTTCCTAGAGGCCAGGGCAGCCACGCGTCCCACATCCCCCCGTTGCACTGCCTCCAGAAGCTTCTGATCACGGCGGTTCCATCTCTCCACCTGGCCCAGAGTTACAAATTATATGAATACGGGGGATGGCAATGATGTGAAGAAATAAAAGAGAGAGAGATGCCAAACAAAGGGAAAGGAGCATCCACAAGGCAGCTGGGAACTTGCACATATGAACTTAAGGTAATGGTGACAGCATGCACAAGACCCATACAACACACAATCAGACGAAAACCAGCATAGACCTGGGGAAACGGGCTGGAGGCCCCAACCTAGACTGAGGAACTGCTGATAGCTGATCACCTCGAGGTGAGGGAGAATTGATCTTCTTTAAGGGAATGATGCTAGATAGGTTGAACAGGCTCTAGTGAATGAACTCACACTGAGAGACAGCTGGGTACACAAACTTGACTGGATAGGCTTTAACATTTAAGACAATGCATGAAATCCTGTGAGCAGGCTATGGGAGGGGTTGCAGATAGAGGAGGTCTAAATGTGATTAAAATGTATTATATGAAATCCACCCAAATTCAATTCAAATATACATTAAAAAAAAGAATTATCAGGAACTGTCAGCCCTGAGCTAAAAGGGACTGAACCACAGAATTAAAAATTATTAAACTAGCTGGGTGTGGCGGGGCACGCCTTTAATCCCAGCACTCGGGAGGCAGAGGCAGGCTGATCTCTGTGAGTTCAAAGCCAGCCTGGTCTACATAGCGAGTTCCAGCTGGGGATACAGAGAGATCCTGTCTCAAAAAGACCAAAAAAAAAAATTATTAAGCTAGATCTGGAGAGATTGCTCAGGGGTTAAGAGGACCTGGGTTCAGCACCCACATGTAAGCTAATAACCATCCATAATTTAAGTTCCAGGGAATCTGATATCCTCTTCTGGCCTCCACAGGCATGGCATGCATAGGTACACTTACATACATGCTAGAAACACACATATACATAAAACAAATGAATTAATGAATAAATAAATATTAAAAATTATTAAGCTGGGGGGAGGGATTGGGTATGAATTTGATCAAAACACCTTGTATGCTTGCTTATATGCCTGTATGAAATTCTCAGTAAATTATTTTTCAAAAACCCAAACACACACACACACACACACACACACACACACACACACACAATTATTAAGCTGGGAACTGGGTCCAGTGGCACAGGCCTTTAATCCCTACACTTGGGAGGCAGAGGCAGGTGAATCTTCAAGGTTAGCCTGGTTTTCAAAACAAATTTATTAAGCTGGGTGTGGTGGCTCATACCTATTATATAATCCTAGCACTCAGGAGTTGGGGCAGGAGGATCAGAAGTTCAAAGCCTCTCTCTCTCTCTCTCTCTCCCCTTACCATCAGGCATGGTGGTATGGTGGTGCATGCCAGTAATCCCAACACTTAGGAGTCTAAAGCAAGAACTTGAAGCCAATCAAGACCTTGTCTCAACAAAAAAAATATTATTTCAGGGCTTTTTCAGCATTTTGTTTGGCTTTGTTTTGTTTTGTTGAAACAGAGTCAAGCTAGTCCAGGCTTGTCTCAAAGATTCTGTGTAGCCAAGGCTAGCCTCAAATTCAAGATCCTCTTGCTTCAGCCTCCTGAGTGCTAGCATTACAGTAATGTTCCACCACACATGGCTTCAAAAAGTATTTTAAGTGATGAATGAATCAACCGGACCACTCCTGATTGGGTTCACATCGAATCTCAACCACCCCTTGCTGCTTTGCTGTGGGTCTTTAGATGTTTGAGAAGTAAATCAAGATCCTTAGAGCTTCAGGTCACAGCTAAGAGTTCAAATATCTAACCATACCATCTTTACCCTTTGACTTTGGCCCCAAAGGGCAGGGGAACCAGGAGTTTCTGTTTTCTTATGTCAAGCCTTCCATTAATCTCTAACCCCTTTCACTGGAAAAAAATAAACAACTGGCAGGCTGCTCTCTAGCTGTGCTTAAAGAGGCACAAGGAAGAGGCAGCAAGAGGAAGGACTCCTCCCTCTTCTTTCTCCTCCCTCCTAGTTTCCCAGGCAGAAGCAGCTGTCCCAACAACAGCCACACCAAAGCAGACATTGTTCTCTCCTTCCAGTTTTGGTGTTGAGGGTGGAGGATTAATTACAATAATTGAAGTATTACAGGGCATAAAAGATAGAGCTGTGTAAAAACACCTAGGACTAAAAGACCAAAAAAGCCTTGTTTGGTTCAGAGAGGAGAGAGGAAGAAGGGATGATAGCAAAGATCGTTGGTAGAGCCGAAAGGTCCGCCAGATAAATATTTATCAGTTGCAGTGAGTCTGGGACCTGGTTCGGCTACATTCTCAGCTACATGACCTAGAGCAAGCTATTAAATACTCTAACCTATTTCCTCATATATAAAATGTAGGTAATAACTACCTCATCGTGTTGTATTAAACAAGTTAATGTATATAAAATCTCTTTGCAGACTGTAAAGAGCCATATAAACATATGGCATCCTTATAACAAAACAGGAAGTCATAAGAAATTGGTGGTGGCCTATTGCATTTTATGAGGTATAATCTCAACAAGAAAGAGGTTATAGGAAAGGTGAAGAAAAATAGAGTCTGTGGAAGCCTAATAATTCATTTTTCAAATATTGTTTATATAGCCAGGACAAATTGCTAATCATCAACACAGGAAAAATTTAGATACCCAAACCATCACACTTTCCATGATAGATGGGTTCTAAGGTAATACTCCTGCACATTACTTGTAAATCCTTGTAGTCCTTCAAGTGCTATTTCAAAAGCCTCTCAATATCCTTGAAAAATAGTAGGGATGATAATATCTTGTGTCTTTGATGGAAAAAGAAATGGAAACCCACAGATGTTAAATAATGGTTAAGGTCCATAAAAGAGAGAGAAAATTGGAATTAGGATCTAGGTCTCCAGTATCCACTCCTAATTCCCACCAGCAGACAACACTATGGCAGAGCTATGGGAGAAGGTTTACTTATTTCCAGATAAAGAGTTTGAGAATACCTCAAGGGCAAAGTTGCTCACCCTCGGATGTGACTCCCTGCTTGTAGAACAGTCTCCAAACAGGTTCATTCTCAAGGACAAAAGAAGCAAAATGACTCCTCCATAACCCAACAAGCTCTGACATGTGAAAAAATGTTTTTAATGCCCCTTGGGAACCAGGTCATCTGCTGGAAAACAGAGCTGGAACATTGCCTCCACCACACACCGCTGCCACCAGCTGACCTTAACCTGAAGTCCTCCTTTCACTGATCTCTCTCTCTCTCTTCTTCTTCTTCTTCTTCTTCTCCTTCTTCTCCTCCTCCTCCTCCTCCTCCTCCTCCTTCTTCTTCTTCCTTCTCCTATAATGTTCTCACTATATCCCAGCTTAGACCGGAACTTATAGCCCTTCTGCCTCCTGAGTGCCAGGATCCTAAGAGTGTGCCACCATGCCCAGCTCTAAAATCTTCATTCTAACACTTTGTCTTTGTGAATCTTAGGCATGTGAAAGCATCTTTGAACCTCATTTTCCTAATATAAACAGCATGTAAAGCATACAGTTTGTGTCTGTCACACAATAGATACACAATAAATGTTAGTTCCAATCTCCATCCTTCCTTGCTGGCCACCCTTTGGATGTTCCTGGGCTTGGAATTCTCTAGCTATGTGAGTACAAGGACAGGATCTTCTGTGACGGTATGAACCAGTGAATCAGCAGCCAGGCTAGGCAAGCGGAAAAGTTGTGTTTTAGCAATATGGACACATTTCTTTCCAGCTAGGTAGTTCTAGATCCACTCAGTTTACTCCCTATAGTCTCATTGTATCAAGAAGAGTTTAGAATGGGCAGAGAGACCTCATGATGAAAGCTGGAGTAAAGGACAAGACGGATGCTTCTAAAGTCCAAGAGTCAGCCCATTTCTCATCTTAGCACCTTGGAAAGGAGACACTGGATTACCATCACAGCCACAAGGGATAATCACCAAATTAATCAGCAGACTCAGTAATAAGGACAAGCTTTGTTACTTCTACAGCTAAGATTAAGAGGCCTTTGAAGAAATAATTTTACTCTTCCTATCTCTGTGCACCTACAGCTTCCTATCAAGATGGAAATGCAGGTAGAGAAAGTGGTTTCTGCTGAAGAATAGGTGAGCAGAGATAGAAAGGCTGCCCTGGAGGATCAAGGCCCTGACTCTCAACATTCTAAAAAATATTTTATTTATTATTTTTATTTTTATGTGTATGAGTGTTATGCCTAGATGTAGGTAGGTGCACCCGTGTCGTGCAATGCCCATGGAGGACAGAAGAGGCTGTCAGGTCCCCTGGAACTGGAGTTACAGATGGTTGTTAGCTGCCATATGGGTGCTGGGATTTGAACCCTAGTCTTCAGCAAGAACAGTGTTCGTAACCACTGGGTCATCTCTCCAGCCTGACTCTCAACATTTCAAATGCAACAGTAATTCTTCTACGCTGATGTGGTACTGATAGATTAAAGCTATTTAACCTAGGCAGAGTAAGATCTGGTATATAACATCCTTAAAGATAAATTCACTTTGAGTAAAATAAAATGAGGTTATAGGAGCTGGGGTTTTGTTTGTTGATCTTTCTAGGCAGTGAATAATGTAGATTAATGATTCTTGGTTTTTTTTTAAGATAGGGCCTCACATTCAATATGTAGAAGCGGATGACCTTGAATCTTTGATCTTCCTGCTTCTACCTCCTGAGTGCTGTGATTATAGGCATGTCACCATGCCCAGTTTATGTGGTGTTGAGGACTGAACCCAGGGCTTCATGCATGCTAGGCAAGCACTCTACCAACTGAGCTATATCCCCACCCCAATGTTGGTTAACTGTTAAATGATCACTGATCTCCCAGTCATTGCCTCAGATGAAGGTTCAGTGTGCAAGGATGCAAATGGGGATAGGGAAGGGTGATCTGCTGGCATAGCTGGAAAGCCAGGTTTTTGAAGTGTCCAAGAAGGCTACCACACTACTTGTTTGATAAATAGGTTCACCGTGGTTAGCCAACCAAGGCAGTGGAGGATATTATGAAGGAAATTATAGGGATGTTTTATGAGGAAACTATTTGTAGCAGAAACAGCCTATTTTAAAGGCTTCTGCCTCCTTGATCTGAGAATAAAGTTTTCCTTCCAAGTATAGAGTTCTAAGCTCACCCTTTACTTCCTGTGCTCTTGATATGCTAAGATCTTGTGATCTAAGAAGAGTTTAGAGTGAATGGACATTCCCCATAGTCAAACATCTGGAAAACTAGAGTTGTAAAAGATAGAGGCAGGGTTCTAGATACTAAGAGCTAGCCTATTGCTCATTCTATGTCTTGGAAAGAAAGTACTGCCAAAGGACTAGAGAAACAAAAAGAGTCTATAGTCAGACCACCCTAAACGTGTTTGATCTCAAAAGCTAAGCAGGGTTGGGCCTGGTTAGTACGTGGATGGGAAAATCAGAAAGAATGAATTAGTTCCCCATTACTAAGGAGAAGGCAGCCTCCATAAACCTGAAAGGGAGAAACAGTGCTAGGGACTTTCAATATTTAGGGAAGAGTACACGTGGATAAGAAAATCATTATGAGTTAAGTCATAACCCAGGCAGCCTCAGTTTCTGTTACCTGTAATAGGAGAGGCCTTTTGACTGGTTGATCAATGTGTAGAAACTCTATGAAGAAGCAAATGCAAATGGGACAAAGACAGGCCCCAACAGTTCCTGCTGTTGCCTCAGAGCCTTCTGCCAGGTTTCTGTGGCCTGCCCATGCACAATGAGCTAACTGAGCACTTCTCAATTGTCCTATGAATGACAAGTCAAGCTAACTAAGCAAAATAACTACCAAATGATCCATCACCTCAACTTCTATAGAAAATTTCATGCCCAGGTAAGGGATCTGTCTGTAAGAGCTCTTTAGAGAAGGAGAAACTGTACCTTCCCTGAGCCATCTGATCTGTAATCTTTGTTTTGTTCTGAAGGAACCTGGAGAATAAAGTGACTTTCTGTCAGGAACTCTGTCATGATGAGTTCACGCTATCTTCTTTCTCCATCACTTTTCCCTAACTCAGTCAAAGAACACAGAGAACACAAATCCTAAACAACTAGGTAAGAATTCAGGGAAATTGAAGAGTTTGGGGGAGAAACATACGGAAAGACTTAATTCATTCCAAGAACCAGTCTGAGGACCAGACACTGCAGTGAACTGGCCAGGATAGATTCTGCAGACAACTGACCCAGTCTCTTGGGGATCGGCCAGCAAACTGTGTTGTCCTCTAACAGTATCTGCCTGGCTAGCTAGATTGCAAGATTAAGCCATAGTGAGCAGACAGGAGATTCAGGCAATGAGGAGAAATAGAATTGAGTGATAATAGGGCAAAGCTGGGCAGAGATTAACATAGAGAAAGAACTGCCGTGTGGAATACTAGTTGGAAGAGGTTTGGAGTGGTGCCTGAAGTTTCATGGTTGGTGAGAGAAAGGAATTGGAAATGGCACAGAGAGAAGCAGAGGCAAGCACAGAAAAGGCTTACCTAGTCAAGAAGGGATAGGGAAAGGCACCCAGCTGGGAGCACTTTCCAACCTTAAAGCAAACAGTAAAAGTGGAGCCATATGGGAGATTAAGCTATGGGGACAAGGCATGAATGGAAAATGAAGCTATGGGGCATGAATTAGGGGTGGAGGTAAGAATAGAGCCAGGGGATGGGGATGGGGCAGGTGTCTGTGTTTGGTATCTGGAGTCAGAGCAGAAATAGAAAACAGGTCTTGGAAGCAGACAGGTCTTCAGGAAACATACTAGAAGCTAGAGTCATAGATGTTAGCAGGGTCAAGGGAAAAGACCTTGGGAAGGAAGAGGTTAGAAAGGCAAATCAGAAGCCGAGGGACAAGTTTTTAATGGCATCCGTAAGTTCAGTTAGTAGGGCTGGCGGGCCGCATTGCCGGAGTGGGTAGCCCTGGAAAGACTGATGGAGGGTGTGCGCGTGGAGATGGAATTTCTGTCAACACAGGGCTTGGTCCCCAGCCCCAGCCCTTCTCCCACATATTTTGGCACCTACCGCCACTTGTGAACTGGAGCAGGAGAAGATGCGCTTCATGGCCGGGGCTAGGGCCACGGGGGGACGGGGACGCGCAGAGAGCCAGGCCACAGGTTCCCGAACCCACTGCACAGGGCTGCGGCTGAACTGGCGACAGCTGTCAAAAAGCAGAGCGGGCCCCGCCTCAGATTCCACCCCGTTCAATCAGAGATGTGAATCGGAAGGCAGGGCTTAAAGCCCGCCCCCAATCCTGCCCCACCCGGCCCCTGCAGAGGCAAAAAGCCCGCAGTCCTCCACAGCCTCCTGGGCTGGATCTCAAGCCGCGCCCTTCCGACCTGAACCCGCCCCCCCAGTCGACCTGCCCAATCAAAGGATGCCCGCAGCCAACGGCTGAAACTCCTCTCCTGACCCTACCTCACCCGCAGTCCGGCGCCGAGGCCCCGCCCCAAACCCCGCCCCGGCCGCTGAAGGCACCTGGCAAGTAAGTACCCGGACTGTTCCTGAGGCTTCAGTCTTACCAACTGTCTCCTTTACCTGCTCATGACGCTTTTTTGTATTCAGAGCCCTTTAGCCGATTACCTGTGCTTCATCTTCCCCCTCCCCGCCGAAAATCCAAGCCTCAAAGAGTTAAGAGCATTTAGGAAACGAAAGGTAGTTGTAGAGTTAAGCTGAGTGACGACTTGAGACAGACGTGGGGACCAGGGCCACACCAGGGACAAAGCCCAGGTTTCTGGGCTGGATCTCTTAACTCAGCTCTCATTACAAAAAAGCAAGGGGAGAATTCTTATTATATGCTTCCCCTCCTCTGAAAACAAAAACAAAGACCAAAGTTACCCTCCCTATTTTTACTGCCTTTAAGTTTAGATTCTTTTTTTTTTTTTTTTACATTTATTTTGCGTGTGTGTGTGTGTGTGTGTGTGTGTGTGTGTGTGTGTATGTGTGTGTGTGCCACAGCTTGTATTGGAAGTCAGGGTACAACATGAGGGGGTCAGTTTTCTCCTTCCCCCATGTAGTCCTGGGAATCGAACCCAGCTCATTAGGCTTGGTAATAGGTGATCCCATCAGCTAAGCCATCTCACTGGCCCCAAGCTCAAAGTTCTTACAGTTTACAAAGCTCTTCTGAAACAGAACCCTGCCTTAGTTCTCAGCCCTCAGTATTTCCACATAAAAGCCCAAGTTCAAACCACTATAATAGACTTTAATTCCCTTTGTGGCTGGTACATTCTTGGTGGGGGTCCCATATAAAGCTTTTGTGTTTTGTTTTGATTTGGTAAATTTCCCCCTTAAAACCTTGTCACCTTGCCCAACAAAGTGTGTGGATGTGTGTGTGTGTGTGCACATGTGTGACTTCCAAGGTTTTTTTTTTTCTTTGAGACAGGGTCTCCCCAGTAGCCCCAGCTGTCCTGGAACTCACTATGTACACCAGGTTGGCCTTGAACTCACAGTGATTTGTCTGCCTCTGCCTCCGGAGTGCTAAGATTAAAGGCATGTGCCACCACGCCTGGCTTACTTCCAGGTCTTACCAGCACATTGTTTAGTAACCACCTTCTTGTGGCCATTGTGTGTTTACATCTTTGATTTTCCGACAAGGCCGGTCTCTTTGATGGTGGCAGTTATTTTATATTGTTCTCATTGCTTGGCACTCATTAGGTGTCTATGTCTGATGAATGAATGAATGAATGAATGAGTGAATGAATGAGTGAATGAGCAAAGAGGCAACAAGAAAGGAAGAGCCTCTTACCTCTACAGTTGCTTCTCAACCTAGAATTGCTCCAAAGGAAAGGGGTAATGCTCTTGTTAAAGAATAGGTTGGGGTCAGAGAAAACCCTAAGTGGAGCTGAGGATGGATTGGAGATGGATTGCTAAGCAGACACAAATGATGCACTTGATCTTAGACAAAACACTAAGAAGTGACGACAAATGATAAAAGTGCTTTTTTAAAAATTACATGTATTTGTTTATGTGTATATGGGGGTGGTCATATGTGTCATGGTTGTGGAGGTCCGAGGACAACTTGTGGGATTCAGTGCTCTCCTTCCACAACCTGGGTCCTGGGGATCAATCTTGGGTCATCAGGCTTGGCAGCAAATGTCTTTACCCACTGGACCATCTCACCAGCCCCAAAGTGCTCTTTTTTTTTTTCCTGGTCTTTTTGAGACAGGGTCTTCCTGTAGCCCCAGCTGTCCTGGAACTCACTATGTAGACCAGGCTGTCCTTGAACTCACAGAGATCCCCTGCCTCTGTCTCCCGAGTGCTGGGATTAAAGGCATGTGCCACCACGCCCAGCTAAAGTGCTCTTTTAATCATCAGATAAAGAATTAGATTAACACTGAGTCTTGGCTCCCTTGCACCCTGACCAGTTACATTCTTTCCCCATGAAACCCCACCCCCTGCCTTGGTCCTAGGCCCCCTCCTGATCTTCCTGCCCAAGACCTCCAGACTACCCTACTAAGAAATGAAAACACCCTAAATGTACTTTAACTGGCAAATGGATAATGAGAATGTGGTACATTTACAAAATGGAGTTCTACTCAACAGTAAAGAAAGACGAAATCATGAAATTTGCAGGTAAATGGATAGAACTAGAAAATATACTAAGCGAAGTAACAAAGACTCAGAAAAGCAAGCGATGTGTATTTGCATCATTCATGGATCTTAGCACCAAATTCTTTTTTAAAAAAATATTTTATTATTTTTTTATTTTATGTGTATGAGTATATTGCCTGCATGTGTGTAAGTGCACCCATGTCATGCAATGCCTGTGGAGTCAGAAGACTGTGTCGGATTCCCCCGGAACTGGAGTTATGGGTGGTTGTTAGCCACCATGTGGGTGCTAGGCATTGAACCCAGGTCCTCTGCAAGAGCAGTCAGTGCTCTTAACCACTGAGCCATTGCTCCAACCCCACCACCAAATTCTTATATGTGAGTATATATCCTGATTTAACTGTAGGAACCAGGAAAATGGAAGGGAACCATGGAGATAAAGGGAAAGAATGAGCCCAAGAGAAAGGGACAGTAAGAGACAGGTGTTACCAAGGGTGAAAGGGGGGTGGGGTGGTGGTGGAGGTATTTAACAGGAAAGGGAGGAGAGATAAATAATGGTTAGGTGATAGACAAAACCAAAGGGAAATGCATTTGTTCAAAAGCCTACTGCAAAATACACATACATATCTGTACATGAGTACATATGTATAGCTGAAGGCAATATAACAAGAAACACAGTGCCAGACAGGAGAAACCCCCCTTCAAGTTGTTGGTCAAGGTAGTCCAACAGACTCCCAAAATAACACAGGCTATTGCCACAGCCTTGATTGCCTCCCAGAACTTGAAGGTAAGACCCTACTGCTGAAGACAGGACATACTTTGGACACAGGACTCAGAGCAATGGAGCTGAAACTGACTTGGAAACCTCCTCCCTGCAGACTAGCTCTCAGAGTTTGAGAGGATACTACTGAGGAGAAAATCAATCAATGGTCCAATCCCAGCTTTAAAGCCTGATAGCCACAACAATGACTGACACATCAAGCTATCTCTGGGGGTAATCAACAGCTATCTAATTGGACTTAAAGCCTGCTCAATGGAAGGGAACTCATGTGTGGTACTGTAAATATAACACATGGCTGGAAAGGTCATGGGTCTCAGAAAAAACCCTAAGGCTGCCACAGTCTTAGACAAACATAATTTCTTACTGTATGCTAAATATGGATCCTTATATTTACAGAAAAGCATACCTGTCACCACTTCTTAAAGAAGCTTCTTTTTGCCACAGATGGAGACTCTTACCGAGTTCCACAACTGGTCACACACAGAGAATAAGTGTCTGTGAGATGCCCAACTCTAAGTGACACATCTACAATAGAACCTCTACACCTATGGTTCACAGAACACAGCAGAACAGGGGATAAGGAGAATACTAATGCATTTCTCAACTAATCAGCGAAGCTTCCTCATGCAATAGAGGGTGAGGAACACAGAAGGCCACAACTGGCCAAAGTGTAGAGAATAAGAGACTACAGACTCTTATATTAAACCTCACCCATCTAGGGCTCAGGGACCATTGTGGAAAGGGGCAGAAAGATTGTTAAGAGCCAGGGGTGGTGGATGACCACAAGGAAACAGTTTTCCAGGCAGCTGAGAACTTGCTCATGTGAACTTATAGCAATGGTGACAACATGCACAAGACTCATGCAAACCCAAACCAGACAAAAACCCAGCATAGAAAACTGGGGAAATGGGCAGGAGGCCCCAACCTTAGCTGAGGAACTGTTGGCAGCTGATCATTGTTGGGTGAGGGAGAGTTGGCCTTTAAGAGAGTGACATTAGACTAGGCTCCAGTGGCTAAACTCACACTGAGGAACATCTGACGACACAAATGACTCTATAAACCTTAACATATATAGCAGAATGCATGCAATCCAGCGGGGAGGACTGTGGGGTGCAGACAGGAGATCTAAATATGATTAAGATGTATTTTTTGAAATACACAAAAATTCAATAAAATATATATTGAAATAGAAAAAAAAAAAAAGAATGAGATGACTGTCAGTTATCTTGCAGAAGACTTAGTTTCGATTCCCAGCACCCATACAACAGCTAACTGTCCCTAACTCCATTCCCAGGGGCTCTGACACCCTCTTCTGACCCCTGCAAGCATTGCATGACACAGGTACACTTACACACATGCAGGCAATACACTCATACACATAAAAATAATAAATGTTTTAAAAAATATTTTATTATTTTTATTTTATGTGTATGAGTCTTATGCCTGCATGTAGGTAAATGCACCCGTGTCATGCAGAAACTGGAGTTACAGACAGTTGTTAGCTGCCATGTGGGTTTTGGGATTCGAACCCAGGTCTTCTGCAAGAACAGTCAGTATCTTAACTGCTGGGCCATCTCTCCAGTCCCCTTAAATGTTTTTTAAAATATTTATTATTTTTATGTGTATGCGTGTATTGCCTGCATGTAGGTGAGTGCACCCATGTCATGCAATGCCCACACAGGTCAGAAGAGGTGGTCAGATCCCCTGGAACTGGAGTTATGGACAGTTGTTAGCTGCCATGTGGGTGCTGGGATTCAAACCCGGGTCTTCTGCAAGAACAGTCAGTGTTCTTAACCGCTGAGCCATCTCTCCAGCCCATAAAATATTTTTTAAAAAGAAAATCCACTTCCCTTTGCAGGCCCACAGGAGTAAAGAGATGAGGGATGTTTTCAACATAGGCATGGCCTCAATTCTAGCCCCCAAGATAATATGTTTCACAAAGGCTGATCAAATTATAGCTTACATGAAATGCAAGGAGGGTCACCATGGACAGTTGTCTGCCACAAAACGATTGATAAGCTTGAAGCAGAGTGGTGTCCCTATCTAACAGGCCACCGTTCTCAGGGTTAAGCAACAAAAGCTGAGACAAGATCTCCTGAAAGCTGGTGCTTCAGTGCACATGTTCCTTGGGGATACTGGAAACCTTACAAATTGCTGAAAAAAGCCAGGCACGGTGATAGACACATACAATCCCAGCACTTGGGAGGTGGAGGCAGGAAGGTCAGGAGTTCAAGACCAGCCTTGGCTATATAACAAGTTAGAGCCCAGTCTGGGCTATATGAGACCCTATCTCAACAAACAAAGGGGCTGGTGAGATGACTCAGTGGTTAAGAGTACTGGTTGTACATTGGGGCTAATAACTGTTCATAACTCCAGTTCTAGGGGATCTAATGCCCTCTTCTGGTCTCTGTGGGTATTGCAGGACCCAGGTACACATATTTCAGCAGGCAAAACACTCTCATACACATAAAATAAAAATAAATTAAAAATTTTAAAACAACAGCAAATGAACAGGAGCTGAGCCTAGTCTAGGAAACATGTGGGTATTTAAAGAAATCAAGTAGATTTGACTTTTACCACTAGAACCTTAAGTTAATCTGTTATCACCTCAAAAGCTCAGGAGCCTGTTTCAAAGGGGATGAAGCATAGGACATAATTTAGTGGAAGGAAAAAGAGAAAAGAAAGAAAATGAATCAAATCAGAACAAAACAAGCTTTAATGGGAGGACACTAGCATGCAGAAGAAAACATTCTGAGGGTCTGGGAACCACTTAATGCTTCAATATACTTTCTACTTAGTCATTATGGCACATGGAATAGTAGATTATTTTAAAACAGAACCTTTTTATAATCATAGTTACTATTTATTAAGTACTTACTATATGCTCACTTTACTGTCTTATTTAGTTCTTAGAACCTGTTGTACCATACTCCCCACCAAGACCCATGCATATGCTCTCTAGGATCCCAGGGCTGACAAAACTGACAGGATATTTGGGTTTTTGCATAGTTTATGACATCCATGAGGGGGTGACTTACAAAGGCATAATCATCCATGGGCCCCACTTTTACATCTCTGCTAAGCTTTGAGATCTGACATCCGCCAGTGGCCCACCTGCTGTCCAAGTGCCCAGTTCGCCAAGACGGCGACTACCCGCCCCCTTTCCCCGGTGTCCTTAGCACTTTTCAGCATTCTTAGCATCTGTCCTTAGACCCTCCCCCTCACGCAATTGAAGCTGACTGATGGGTGGGAGGAGTGACTGTCTCGGAGGACGTACCTACCCAACCTCTTCCTCTGGCTCTCACAATCTTTCCGCCAATCTTCTGCAAGGCTCCCTGAGCCTTGGAGGGGGTGGCAGATGCAGGATGATTTCTTTTTCCTTTATTGTGATGAGATATTGGGCTCCTGTACCTCTCCATCATTCATTTTCAAGACATGGCTGTTAATCCATCTCAAATCCTCCCCTACTATAAAGACAAATGGAAGGAAGCAGACAGGCAGGGTGCCTAGAAGATACCCCAGCAGGCTTACCATATTTATCGAATAGAGTACTTGCAGCAACTTCCCTGCTGGGGCCTACAACCTTCCCTGACACAGGGGGTTGGCCTGGTCTACAGCACCAGATGTATGTTCTCCACCCCTAGGAGTGGGCCTTAGCCAATTAGAAATAGTCAGTTGTACGTATGTTAGTCAAGCCATTGTTGTACCCGCAGGCATTACTTGGCATGTCAATAGTGTGCAGTGTGCAGTGTTCATCATCAAGCAGAATAATAAGGGATCCTTTTCCACCAACCATCTGTATAGCACCTTCTGGCACTATGAAAGCCATCCATCCAGTGGCATGGAGTTTTAGTCTCAGTTCCGTCTCTCCTTGTCCTGTGCTCACATCATCACACAGTGTCTTCAGCAACATGGCCTTACTGACCTTTTCTGATGTACAACGATCATTAGTGGCAATAGCCTTGGTTAATTTGAGGACCTCTAGGATCTCTCTAGCCAACAGCTCAAAGGGGGCAACCCACCCCTGGTACTGTAATTTTTTCTTCAGAGTTGTACAGTTTTGGGAGCCTCTGTCTGTCCTTATTTTCATACAGGATTAGGTGTTAATAGGCATTTCCCAACCATCCCAGTGGGTATTACTTGTGTCTTACCCAACCATAAAGCTCCCAAAAATCTTACAGCTATAGATGGCCTTTCTTTCTTCAAGTGTACTTGATATCTTTCAAATGGGTTTCACATCTGTAAAACACTCAGAGGTTAACAACATGTAGTAAATCAATCATAGACAAGGTCTAACACAGCCCGGAAAGGCTTTATCCAATTGTACTAATTGTTTTCTCTATAGATCTCTATGGGGTATCATAACGTGTAAGAGGCATTAACTTGGTTAGTTCTTTATTACCTTTAGTTATCCCCTTGGAGTCATTCCATATTTTGGGGATTTTACATGGAGTCTCTTTGTATCTTTTTATCCTTGATACACTTATGGGCGTTGGCTCAAGTTGCCTGATCCTGCACCAAGCTAAGGAGGCAGAGGGTCCCTATTGTCCCTGCTGCACCTGTTGGTTCCCCAAGTCAGGCAGGCCCTGGGTCTGCCTCCTGGCTTTAGCCATATTCACTGTCTCTCCATTGATCATAACTGGCTTGCTGGGGGAGGCCCTGGTAGGAAAAACTGCCTCCACCCCTAGCATAGCCTTTCTCGGGAGAAAAATGTACCTTGTTTAATCTTTGGGAATGCTTAACCACCACTGGGACAGTTTTTATCCTTTGTATGCCTTTTATGAACTGTTCTTCAGGTTTTAAAGACTTCCAGAAACTCCTTAGTACCAAATTTGTTTTTTTATCAATTTTTTCTTTAGGAATTTGGGCTTGACATAAATCTTGCCACATTTGTCTTTGAGTGACCCAAATGGACCACTTTTTCTGTCTTGTCTTTTTATATCTCTTGTAGGTTGTCCTATTATTTTACAGACATGTTTTGTTTTACATGCTAGTTTGAGTCACTTAGATCTGCCAAAGCCTCCCTCACTTTACAAAGATCCTGTCCCATTAAGGGACTTAGCAAAACCATTAAAGCTCCATACCATTCTTGAGGTCCCTGTTGAATTAAGCTTTTTCTTATATCTCTGGTGAACACAGAGATATATCTGGCCCAGCGAACTAGGCATCATATATTGCTTTTCTCATACCTAGCTCTCTCAGTAATGCCTTCTATGGTCCTCCAGTCCCTGCTAATCATGGAAGTCTCCATAGGTGATGACCAAATATCTTTAATGCCTTGCACAAGCCATTCCATTAGGGACTGTTCCACTCTGTATTGGCCTAGGTTAAACAGCCTATGTCTCAAGGAAGGATGGGTGGTTATATAACTCACTTGTGATGCTTCAGAAGGACTTAAATTAACATTATTTGTTCCCATGTCCCATACTCTCACAAGCCACATGGTGAGGGGCTCTTTTATTGCTTGTTTGAGAGCCTTTCCTAGTCCCAACAGCTCCAGTGTGGAGTATTTTCTGCTAGTTATGGTATTTGTTAAGGCTTTTATCAGCATGTGGAAACACGGCTTTTTTCTCTTTTTGTGCCAAAGGTTGAATCTGAGGGGCAGCTTCAGCTACTTTTATTTCTAGAGCATTTCTTTTCTCGTTACTATCTGTCTTTTTCCCTGGGTCTTTTGCTGAACCTTGTATCACAGGTCTAATCTGGGCTTTCTTTTCTCTCTCCCATGGTTTATTCCCAAACTCTGAGGCTAAAACTGAATTTGCCAGTAACTCCTCAGTCTTTTCAGCCTCCCCTAGGGCTGTTGCCTTTGCCTCAGACAAGTCTTTTATTATGCAAAAAAGTGGCCAAGCCACCTCTCTGGATTCCCCTTTTGCTTCCAAGGCTTATAAAATTTTTCTAGGCTTTCCACAATCCTTAAAGAATTTTCACACATACATGGCAGCAGCCCCCATCTCTCAAGCAACTGAGCTATTTTACACCATGGAGATAAAATATAGGATGGTAGCCACCTAGGGATTTCCCCCTTTGAGTCAGTCTGCATCTGCTTGGCTGGCCTCATTTTAGTTACATATCTTAACTGTATAACCCATGTAACTGCTGCCAGCTCCATTAAGTGTATGAAGATTGCCCACACTCTTTCCTGGGTTCCCACCAGCTTCTCCCAGATCAGCTCCACTGGACGCCTTGCAGTGCCCATCTCCACCCTTCTGGATTTGGGAATCTGAACCTGACTCCCTTTCAATCAGCTCACCAGATGCCACTGGAACCACAACGCTTTCCAAGGCCCACATCCCAATTGTTTTTCCCAAACTCCTGCAGATTATCATGTATCCTGCTGACTACACCAATTTGTTGCACCAAATCCCACCCCCACTCCCCACCCAGACCCACGCACATTCTCTGGGATCCCAGGGCTGAAAAAATTGACAGGATACCTTCTCTTTGGGTTTTTGCGTAGTTTATGATGTCCAGGAGGGGAGAGGGGTGACTTACAAAGGCATGATTGCCTGTGGGCCCTGTTTTTACATCTCCACTAAGCTTTGAGATCTACTGCCCGTCAGTGGCTCACCAGCTGTCTGTGTGCCCAGTTTGCCAAGATGGCAACTACCCCCTTTTTCCCAGTGTCCTTAGCACTTCCCAGTTTCCTTAGCACTTTCCAGTGTCCTTAGCTTAGTGTTCTCAGCATCTGCCCTTAGACACCCCCCCCCATGCAATTGAAGCTGACTGATTGGGTGGGAGGAGTGACTATCTCAGAGGACATGCCTATCCAACAGAACCCAAGTAAGTTTAAACATGAGAAAGCTAACACAGAAGTTAAATCTGTCTGAGGTCATAAAAGGTTTTTTTGGGGGTAGGGGGGGATGAAACACGGTCTCCCTATAGCCCCAGCTGGCCTACATACTCCCTATGTAGACCAAGCTGGCCTCATTTGACAGCAATCCACTTGCCTCTGTCTCCTGAGAGCTAGGATTAAAGGTGTGCACCACCATGCCTGGCTCACATAAGGTTTTTTAATTGTTATTTTATGAGTGTGAGTGTATTGCCTGCATGTATGTATGTGCACCTATGTCATGCAAAGCCCAAAGAGGCCAGAAAAGGGCATCGGATCCCCTAGAACTGGAGTTGGGGATGGCTGTTAACTGCTATGCAGATGCTGGGAATGAAACACAGGTCCCCAGAAGAACAGCCGGTACTCTTAACCACTGAACCATCTCTCCAGCCCTGACTCACATAAGGTTTTAAGCAGCATAGCCTACATTTGCATCCAAATCTATCTTTATTCCTAATCAGTGTACTACAAAATTTCTTATTGTTATCTGAACCTCAAGGAACTTATGACTTGTTCAAGACTAATAAATAGCTAATAAATAAATGACCTGGGTGTCAGCACAGGCCTGCATATTTCACAAATCACACACTTTACACTCTGTGGCCCATAAGTAGGTAAGAATTTCAGGAGGCAAGTACACATCTCTTGTGGAAGAGTCACAGAAAATATTCACAAGATGTCATAATTTTGCCTTCCAGGGATTCCACTACATAAGAATGCAGGCAAACTAAAAATCTACCTTAGTATTCCTGAGACATACATATCCTAGGAAACCCAAACAGAGTCAGAAATCATTTGATACTGAATTTTATTTGTTCTGCCCATCTGACCACAATCCTGGGAACACACACTATCCAGGCTCTGCAGCCCAGAAATATACCAAAATAAACACTGTGGACAGACCTCAAGAACACTCTGGGAAGACAGGTTCTATGGCAGCTGGTCATCTGTACAATCAGATCTCTCTTCTCAGCTCTAAGAGGGTACTGAATCTTCAAATGGCTGTCAGAGCTGCACTCTGGAGACCAGTAACTGACCTTAGTGTTCAAAATCTTAACTAAAAAGAAACAAGTTTCCCAGTGACTGTGAGAATCCAATTGTTTTTACTGCCTATGATCAAAATATAAGACAAGAGCAGGGAATTTAAGACACAAAAATTAACTTGACAATTTCCAGCAAACATCAAGTAAGGGCTAGCAAACTCATTCCAATGGAGAAATCAAAACATGACAGGAGTTACTCAGAAACATTTGCTTAGGAGACATTAGTGCTATACAATCAATGCTGGACAAGTAAGTACTTGCTCCCCAGATACCTCATGCCAACCACTTACAATTCTTCACGCAGATGTCATTCCTTTGGATCCCATGGGGTTGCTGCTTCCCAATGCTGGGTGGTGAAAAGATTTCCCATCAGGCAGAGAGCGTTCTTAAAGAAGCCCAACTGTCTTCTCTGCGATTCCACCTTTAACCACTTGAGGGCCCTGAGCGCCAGAAAATCCTGCACCAGACCCTGGCTTTGTTCCCAGGGAAGGCAGAAGGTTGGTTCAGCCATGTCCAACTAGCCTGGGGGCAGCTCAGTTTCTCCAGTACCTGAGGGCGGGCGATTGCACCCGGGAGTCTCAGGTTTCAGGGGGGATGGCAGTTGCCTGTCTGAAGGCTTCTCTGTTCCTTGGAATTGTACAGAATGTCTCTTGTGGCTTTTCCTCCTCCCTCCTTTTTTCCTGTTGACTCTCCCCATCCGGCTCTATGAATCACTAGACTCCACAGGAAAGCAGCAGATGTTGACTTTCCTTCTTTTAAGCCAACATCAGCTCCCTCCTGTGGAGTAGGGAGCAGGCAAGAAGGTAAGAGTATGAAGGAATGGAGGATAACCTTCATCTCTTCCAACCTGTGAGAAAGGGCAAAGGGAATCTGAAAGCAATCAGAAACCCAGGCCAAGAAAAAAAAAAATGTTTTCTTTTTTTAATTCCTGGTAACAGAGAAGACAGGGCCCCAAAGACCCAATGTTGGTTGTGGAACCAGAATCAGAAGGAGGAAAGCATAGAGTGGGAGGACGGCAGGTTTTGGAGCCAGCCCTTGTCTGAGGTAAAGCCTCCTTGTTTGCCAGCAGCATCCCCATGACTCAAAAGTCAAGTTGGGCTGCCGATGTGGAGACACAGCTCAGAAGCTGCTCTTCCCCTCTGAGCCTCCAAGCCTTTTTTTTTTTTTTTTTTTTTTGATACAAGTCTCTTGAAAAAGCTGCCAAAGAGAACTTTTGGAGTCTCATTCTACATTCATTGCTCCAAGTTCTTGTCTCTTTTTTCTTCCTCAGGGATTTTCTTTCGGGCAAAAAAGCCAAGCTGCAGAGGAAAAGATAAGAGTTATTGCCAAGTGCCTTGCCAGTAGCCCCCAGACTTATCTGAGGTCTTCACTTTTGTTCTGTTTCCAAAAATGAGATTCAAATTTATTTTATTTGGCTAAGTTTAATTCATCTGCCACTTGTGGAATACAGTGAAGGAGATCCGGGCATGGCACTCCCAGCATGCTTAACTGTCCAGCACAAATCCTGTTCTTCCTGCTAGAATCACAGATGCTTCAAATTGTGGGCTGGTGCTCACAGCAGTCTCCCCGCTGCCCACTGAAGCTGAGCTTACCTTCCACAGGCAGAAGACAAGGAGAGCGAGCAGGAGCAGCCCTCCCAGGACACTGCCAATGAGGATCCACAGAGAGATGAGGACAGGGCGGGTCTGAATCACCTCTAGGAGGCTCTGTCAAGGGAAGAGTATATTTTATTTTGTTTTGGGGGCAGAGTTTTGCTATACCCCATACAGACCTTGAAGTCCTAGCAATCTCCCATTTCCACCTCCTGTGTGCTAAGATTACAGGTATGCACTAACACACTTGGCTGGTTTTCTTTTAATATTTTATTTATTATTTTTATGTGTATGTGTGTATTGCCTGCATGTTGGGTAAGTGCACCTGTGTCGTGCAAAGCCCGAGGAGGACAGAAGGGGCTGTTGGATCCCCTGGAACTGGAGTTACAGATAGTTGTTAGCTGCCATGTGGGTGCTAGGATTCGAACCCGGGTCTTCTGCAAGATCAGCCAGTGTTCTTAACCATTGAGCTGTCTCTCCAGCCCTAGGCTAGTTTTTCAATGTGCCCTTTAACCCAGCTAGCCTCACTCAACATAGCAAAGTCTGCCCTCAAATAGAACAAAGAATTTCTACTCACAGATACTGAAGCAGGAAGAGAGGCAGTGAAACCCTAGCATTCTGTCACACTGCTGACTGATGGACTGCTGCCTAGTAAGACAGCTTTGCTCTGGAAAAAACCCATCAGTTACCCCATCCAATTGCCATATTTTCTTTTTTTAAATAATTTTATTTATGCCGGGTGTGGTGGCGCAGGCCTTTAATCCCAGCACTCGGGAGGCAGAGGCAGGCGGATCTCTGTGAGTTCAAGGCCAGCCTGGTCTACATAGTGTGTTCCAGGACATTTGGGGCTACAGGGAGACCCTGCCTCAAAAAGACCAAAAAATTTTTTTAAATTTATTATTTTTATTATTTTATATGTATGATTGTATTGCCTGCATGTCTGTAAGTGTACCTGTGTCATGCAATGCCCACAGAGGTCAGAAGAGGGTGTCGGATCCTCTGGAACTGGAGTTATAGATAATTGTTAGCTGCCATGTGGGTGCTAGGAATTGAATCCGGGTCCTCTGCAAGAGCAGCCAGTGCTTTTAACTGCTGAGCCATCTCTCCAGCCCCCCATTGTCATATTTCCACAGCTCCAGCCCCACCTCACTCCAACAGGAGGCTTCAGTCAGTTGTAGGACACTGCCATCCTCAGTTCCTAACTTGAAGGTGCTGACCACCGTCAGAGACTTGAACTTGGCCTGTGGAACAAGTGGATGGGAAGACATTTAAAGTGAGCCTTCATCAGGTGGCGTGGCTCTTTGCAACCCCAAGAACAAAGCTGAAGCAGAGTTTCAGTTACTAAGGTCCTCAAAGCCAGAAGAAAATGCTGAAGGCCAATGGGAGAAGAGAGAAAGGACAATAGATAGAAAGGCCCTGGTTCTATAAATATAACTGTTTGACTGAAAGGCTTTCTACTCCCCTTAGCTTTTGGTAACCTCCACCTTTCTTTAGGTTGAAGTTTAAGTAACCTCAGAAATTAGAGACTTCCTCCTAACTCCTGCGAACCCTGATAGATACCATGATTTAGATATGGGTTGGATGTCTTCATGTATTGAAATTTAGTGCCTACTATGAGATATTATGAGATAAAAACTTTATCCAACTATTGCATTTAGCAGTGGGGCTTTTGGAAAGTGATGAGGATGAAGGCCATTCAATGGAATCCCATGATTGAATCCTAGTAGCTTTGCAAAAATAGCAAGAGTAGACACACATATTCACATGCTCCTATCACATGACACAACAGTGACAGCCTTTACCAGAGCTGAACTAGTGTCATGCTCTTAAACCTTGAGTTTACTTCTTTGCTCTTTGCCACTGACCTATAGAGTCCTTGAGGTTAAGGACCATGTTTTATTAGCCTTTGTATTTCCACTGTCTATGTCAAATATGTAGCAGTTTCTTTGTGTGTGTGTGTGTGTGTGTGTGTGTGTGTGCACATATGTGTGTGCTCATATATGTGTGGAAGTCAGAGGACAATCTGGGGTGTCATTCCTCAGATGCCTTCCACCTTTGGCTTAAGACAGGGTCTCCCATTGGCCTGGAACCTCACCAAGTTGGCTAGGCTAGCTGGCCAGTGAGTGAGCATCCAGGGATCCACTTGTCTCTGCCTCCCAATCTCGATAGCACTGGGATTACAAGCACACACAGCTGCTTCTGACTTCTGTTTGTTTGAAGATTATTTTTATTGTATGAGTGTTTTGCCTGCATATATGTAAGTACATCGTGTATGTGCCTGGTACCCATGGAGGCCATGAGAGGATCCCCATGCAATTGGAGTTACACACACTTCTGAGTGAGTCCTGGGAACCAAATGCAGGTCCTCTGAAAGAGCAGAAAATCAGTTTAACCACTAAGCCATCTTTTCAGCCTCTGCATTCAGCTTTTTATGTGGGTTCTGGGGATCTGAACTCAGGTCTTCATGCTTTGCCAACTGATTCACCTCCCCAGCCCGCTAGTGGTTTCTTAGGAAATTTTTGCTTAAAAAATGATTGAAGCTAGCCGTGGTGGTGCACGCCTTTAATCCCAGCACTCGGGAGGCAGAGGCAGGCGGATCTCTGTGAGTTCAAGGCCAGCCTGGTCTACATAGCGAGTTCCAGGACAGCTGGGGGTACAGGGAGACCCTGCCTCAGAAAGACCAAAAAAAAAACAAAAACAAAAAAATAACTGAGTTGTGCATGATGGTAATCCCAGCCACTCAGGAGACAGAGTCTGGAGGATCATAAATTCAAGGCCAACCTGAGAAACTCATTGAGACCCTGTCAAAATGAAAAAATAAAAAGGTTCGGGGTGGTCAGTGGTAGAATACTTGTCTAACATGCCAGAGGCCCTTGGTCCAATCTTTAGTAACATGCATATGCAAACACATGCACATACATGCACACACACACACACACACACACACACACACACACACACACACATACACACAGATAAATAAACAAGATTCCCAGGAAGGATAAAGAGAGAATCAGACTTGGAGAAATGATTTGTCAGACTTAACTTCCCTAAAACACATGCTTGCATCCCAGGGGTCTTGCATAATTCCAAGTAGGTAAATTTGCAATATAAACTCCTAGTGCTAAATAGCCATTTATGATTAAGATGTCATTTCCTGCACAGGAACTCACAGTGACTTCGAGGACCTGCCATAGTAAATTCAATTTCATCTCTTCAGCTTCAGAGACCTTTCATAATCTAGATGTTTCTCAACTATGCAGTCTTACTTCCCACTACCCCAGTACAAATCAGGCATGTAATATCAATTATTTCATTCATTCATTTAGCAAAAGTGTATTAAACAGCTACAGTGAGTTTGGCATAATAAATTTTAGGACTAATCTCCTCAGTGTTGACCCAACATAGAACATTTCCTATAATAAGGATTTGATGGATTATTAATTGATTTAATTTAGGTATCCTGTAAGTGTAAATTGACTACTATTATAACACTAAGGGATGTTAAACAGAGGAAAATACTAAGACAGTAACTATGATTTCTTGAGTGCTCACCATATGTCATACAGCACTGCATTATTATTATTAGTAGTATTTTTGAGATAGGATCTCACTGTACAGCCCTGATAATCTGGAACTCGAAATGTAGACCAAGTAGAACAGGCTGGCCTCAAACTCACACAGATTTGCCTGCTTCTGCCTCACAAACGCTGTGATTAAAAGTATGTGCCACCACACCTAGCCTGCCACCTCCTTATTTCTTTAGACCAATCCATGAGCTAGGTATTGTCCTTCCCATTTTAAAGATCAGGAAAACAGATTAGAGAGATCAAATAACATAATCATGGTCAAAGAGTCAGAGGTGAAACTGAAACTTAAACATGGGTCTGCCTACCTCCAAAACCTCTGTTAATACTCATACAGAAACAGAAGGGAAAGAAAAAGGAAAAGGTGTACCCTCCGGAAAAATTCATTGTGGACCAGCCTCAGTAGTCCAATAGAGATCTCAGTCCCCTTTGCCAGCTGTCCAAGGTGGCACCTCACAACCTGACACCGAGTATTACTTTCATTCTGTTGGAAGAGAAAGACAGATCAGGGCCTTGGAGCAGAAAGGTCCCCTGTTCCCACTTCCATTTCCCACCAGCCTGTCACAAAACACCAGTCCCTACTTGCATTCCCGTCTGGACACCCTCCTGTGGCTCATACCAGTCTGTTTGTGTGCTGAAGCTCCTCTGGATGCACAGGGGACCCTGGGGGCTCAGTCAGATTCTGTACTGTGCAGCTTGCCTAGAGGAATATCCAACTTGAAAGCCCCTCCTTGGGGAGACCAGCTACTCCATGTTGAACAGAAACATACTACCCACACTCCTGTAGCCCTTCTTTCCTAACAAGGACGCCCTCCCAGGAAGAGAGCTCTGAGAGCAGTGGGCCAACAGACAGGGACGATGAAGATTAAATGGAATCCAGCTTCAGTGAGTCTTCCAGCTCAAGACAACAGGGATCCACATGCTCTAGCCCAGACTCACATTGTTAGAGATGACTTGAGATAGTGACAGGAAGTAATTGCCTCCATGGGCTACAGATGGAAGGACAGCTGAGATGATGAGGTCACTGACCACATAACAGCCAAGGTTCTGAACCTGAGAGGATTTAAAATGGTAAGAGGGAGACAGAGGACCTTCTTCATCTAATCCCCATTCACCCTATATTCCATTAAAATCCAGGAGAGACATTTCTCAGCCTTTTCCCACATAGCTAATGCTCCTCTCCCAAACACCCCTTATCATGCCAAGATTCCTCCAGCTTCTCACCCTAAGAGTGGTTTTGAATTCAGGGCCAGGACCCACTGGGAGAGTCCTGTAGGGGTGAACCTCATAGCGATGCAGAGTGGACTCACTGTGTAGACACCAAGTCAGGAGGTATAAGGTCACAGCCATGACACAGACACAGGACACATGATCAGAACAAATATAGATTTGGGGAAGGTAGGGTCAATGTATGGATAATGAGATAGGGGTGCATGGAGAAGGAAACAAGATGTAGCACAGACTCAATACAAAATGTATGGTAATATCCCATGTCTCCTTATCCCAGTTCCAATGCACAGGACCTGACAAAGCCCAGGAAACGAAGGTGCTTAAAAGCAAAGGTTCACTATGAGTGGGAGTGAGGACAAAAGGACTGACCAGCCCTAAGGATCTGTGTTCCTGGAAACACCAAAGTACACAGAAACAAAGGGAAGAAACATGAAGGGCATGAATCTGGGGTCAGAATGTGTTCCAGCCAGGTGCTGAGCCATACCTAGAGAACATGAGGTGAGGCTCATATTGGATGTAGGCAGAGGTCTGGACTGTGTTATCTTGAAGGGTCCCATTTCTCTCCAGGCTACTGCTATAAGGTCAGGGGAGAAAGTTTCACATTCCAGCCCTTCCTCAGGTACCCTTTCTGCTAATAGAGGACTCAAAGTTGTTCCTTCTGTCATCCACTTCCCTGACTTTCAGTCAGGACCCAATAGGAGAGGGCTGGGAGGAAGTGCCTTTATTTTTACCTACTGGCAGTCAGCCTCACCAAGACCTGGCTCAGAAGGAAAGTGCAGCTAAACTCAAACTCCAGCAGAAAGGTCACCTGGGGGCAAAGGACATGGGGTACTAATAGAATCTTCCTCCTGGAAAAACTACAGAGAAACAATAGCCCTTGCCTGCCCTCTTCCCTGAACTTCCAGGCCCCATGGATCCCAGCTCCTGCTCTCCCAAAGATTGTTCCTCACTCAGGATCCAAACTCACCTTGGCTCCAGCCTGGAAGACAGGATACCCAACACTGCACAGTCGGGCATGGGGGGAAGGGACTGCACATTCCACCTTCACTGGGCTGGACCTCTGAAGGCAGAGGAATGGGGGTGGAGACTGGAGCTGAGGCTGTGACTGTTCTACCCACAGCCTCTAAACACTGAGCCTTTCTTCAGAGCACCTCACAGCCAAAGCCAATGCTCTGATCATTCTCCTCTTTTCTTTCCTTCTCCCCTGTTCCCTCCTCCAAGGATACCTGAGGAGTAAGACTGGCCAGGTGGAGATTTCTAGAGAAGCTGAGACTCAAGCTAGTGTTGTAGGCATTTTCCTTCTTGTTCTCCAGGGTTGCTGATACCAGTAGTTTTTGTCTACCTCCTTGAACCACGAATGGGGATTTCCTAAGAGAGGTGGATAAAGGAGAGACCAGGAGGTAAAAGAGTATCAAAAGTCTCACTTCTGGGGGCTGGAGAGATGGCTCCGAGGTTAAGAGCACTGGCTGTTCTTACAGAGGACCTGGGTTCAGTTTCCAGCACCCACATGACAGCTAAGAACTGTCTTTAACTCCAGTTCCAGGTGATCCAATGCCCTCTTCTGTCCTTCACAGGCATTGTACAACATGGGTGCACTTACATATACACACAGGCAAAACAACTCATACACATAAAATATAAATAAATAAAAAAAATTTAAAGTCTCACTTCTGTTATTTTGAGTAAGAATCAACTCTTCGGCTGGGCATGGTGGTGCACGCCTTTAATCCTAGCATTTGGGAGGTAGAGGCAGGCAAATTTCTGTGAGTTTGAGACCAGCCTGGTCTACAAAGCAAATTCTAGGTCATCCAGGGCTACATAGTAGGAGACCACATCTAGAAAGGAAGGAAGGAAGGAACGAGGGAGGGAGGGAGGGAGGGGGGGGAGAAAAAAAGAGGCTGGAGAGACGGCTCAGCAGTTAAGAGCACTGGCTGCTCTTACAGAGGACCCAGGTTTGGTTCCCAGCACCCACATGGCAGCTAACAACCATCCATAACTCCAGTTCCGGGGGAACCAACACCCTCTTCCTACTTCCATGTCCATTGCATGACATGGGTGCATTTACATACATGCAGGCAATACAGTCAAACACATAAAATGAAAAGTAAATAAAAATATTTTTTATAAAAAGAAAAAGTAGGGAAGGAAGGAAGGAAGGAGGAAGGAAGGAAGGAAGGGAGGAAGGAAGCAAGGAGCCCTCTAGCTCCCTTGAGTCCTTTCTGGTCTATCTCAGGTCACCCTGGTTTTCCTAGCTCAGTTCCCATCTAACCTGGAGCCTCTGATGTCCATATTAGCCTGAAGCGCCAGGTCTGTGATACATTCATTGTCAGGACCACAGTCTTTTGAGAATGGGATCTGGAAAAACAGTGAAGGGTCTGAGGGTGGAGAGAAAGGCAAGGAGAAGGGAAGAGAATTCGGGGAAAGTGAAGAGAAGATACACTTTGATCACTGGAATGGGGAGCCCTGGTCAGGTTTTACCATTCAATCTCCCCCTCCCCTTTCTTTTGAATTCACTGAGAGGGCCCAAAGCAGGGCAGGGTTTGGCATTGCTAACCAGCTTTTGTATGGAGGTAGATGATCCTTCATCCAGCACAGGCCCTGGCTTTGTGGCGTTGTCCAAGACAAAAGTCACAGTCAATGCCATAGGCCGGAGGTAATCCAATGTATCCTGAGGGAAACCAGAGTTAAGGATGGAGCATGGGAAGCCAGGGTTAAACAGAACCCAGGCTGGCAGAACATGATAATTGTCATTATCTATGGAGTACTTTCTATGTCCTGGGCACTAGTCTAAGATTTTAACATTACTATTAAATTTAATTCAAACACAGCTCCTATGATATAGTCATTACTATATATCATACCCTTCAGAAAGGAAATTGAGAATTGGAGGTTAAATGACTTGGTAGAGTTCATGATGGTAAGTGGTCGAGCCAAGATTCAAATCCATATCAGTCTGACTCCCAACTCTGAACTTTCTCAATTTCCCTGCTTCAGTTTACTTGCTGATCTAGTTGAAATCCTCTCTGACCCAACTGTCTCCTACCTCTCAGGCTCAGTGCAAAGCAGTTCCTATCCCTTCCTCACCAGCACATGGAAATGCAGCTGCTCACAGGTGACATTCCCCACACTCAGCTGGAGCTGCTGAGGGGGCAGCCGCTGGCCAGAGCCATCAAATGCTGCACGTGCCCCAGCCGTCCACTCATCCAGTGATGCCGAGAACTGTATATCTGAATGGGAAAGGCAACCATGACAGTAGTAATAGGTACAGATACCAAGGCAAGGGAGGGGTTGAGGGTTGTCTTGGACACACTATAGTGACTCACAGAATGTGCGATCCCAGCGGCCAGGAGTTCGGGAAGTCACTCGAAAGCAAAGGGCTGCAGTTAGGCAGGCTGCCTCCTGTCCTCTCCGTCTACAGTCCCTCTGAACCACGCTGATGTGTGGTGGCATCACATCCAGGGATGGGGTCAAGTGAACAATGGGCTGGGAGCTAGAAACAAAGTGGGAAAGAAATTCTAGAAGTAAGATATAAGTCCTTCAGGAAGTATAACCCAGGATGGAGAGATGGCTCAGCAGTTAAGAGCACTGACTGCTCTTGCAGAGGACTTGTGTTCAGTTTCTAGCACACACATGGCTGCTAACAACCATGTGTAACTATTTCCAGGGCATCTGATGCCCTCTGACTTCTTCAGGCACTCAACACATGTGCACTTACATACATGCAGGCAAAATACTCATACACACATACACATAAAATAAATGAAAAATGAAAAAAAAAACAAAAAACAAAGCATAGGCTGGGAGTGGTTGTATCCATCTTTTATCCCAGACCTGAGAAGTCAGAGGCAGGCCGATCTCTGTGAGTTGGAGGCTAGCCTGGTCTTTACATAGTGAGTTCCAGGTCAGCCAGTGCTAACCTGTCTCAAAACACACACACACACACACACACACACACACACACACACACAAAACCAAAACCAAAGAAGTGAAACTCTAGGCTGAGAAAGCAGCTCAGTGGTAGAATACTTGAGGATCTGGGTTTTATCTTTAGTATCAGAAGAAAAGGCAAAAAGTGTAAACTCAGCTGGGTGTGGTGGTGCATGCCTTTGATCCCAGCACTCAGGAGGCAGAGGCAGGTGGATCTCTGTGAGTTCAAGGCCAGCCTGGTCTACATAGTGAGTTCCAGGCCAGCTGGGGCTACAGGGAGACCCTGTCTCAAAAAGACCAAAAAAAAAAAAGTGTAAACTCAGTATTGGCCTCCCTGTGGTCAAAACAGAAAATGAAGGGCTGGGTACACATATCTGTTACCTTTCCAGAATCCTGTGACAAAAGTCACATAATACATTCAGTTCAACAAGCACTAATGTAAAGAACTGCATGGGGATTATCTTATTTGACCTTTTCAATAAGTAGGTAAGCTAGAGACAATTATTTTCATTCTATAAACTAGAAATTTAGGCACTGGGTAAGTTGACCAAGAAACCCAAATCTAAATCTGTGACTCCAAGCCCTTGTTCTTAGCAGCAGTGCTCTACTGTCCACTGTTGCCTTAGTTGGAGTCCTCACCTGAGCAGAATGGCTGCCCCATGGGCACCCACAGCAACATCTACAAGATCATCTCCATCCAGATCTAACCGGCCATCTACACTTCGGCCAAAGTAGCTGAGGGCCTGCGGCATGGAGACAGCTGCAACCCGCTGAGAAGAGAAGGGAGACTGAGGAAGGAGTCACACACATGGTTTTTCAGCTCTCTTGCCAGGCTCTTTCTAATATTCCCATCTGGCATAGAAATAAGAGAAATTTACCTATGTTCAGGAATCCCCCATTCACCCTCTAATTTTTTTACCTATGAACACAAGCAATTGTTTGGTTTGCATCTCAAGCCAACGAGACCATGATAGGCAATGAGCATAACTTCCCTCCCCTTGCTACCACTGTGTCTCCTTTTTATCCCAGCACCCCTAACCTGGGCAGGATGAGGCCTGATTCCACTCTCGGTTCCATGATACAGGTATAGTGCTCCCTGGTGCCCATCCTCCAGGGGCGCCCCCACAGCCACATCAGCAAAACCATCTTGGTTCAAATCCGGAAGAGCAGCCATAGCAAAGCCAAAGCGAGCATCCTGGGGGAGTTCTGGCTGAAGTGTTCCTTGGAGCATCAGCAAAGACTGCTGGTGAAGGTGAGGCAGTAGAAAATAATTGCTAATCTGGTGGCCCTAACCCCTCAGCAAGTTCTCAAATATATGTGTCTCCCTCTTCCCCTTCTACTACCACCCCACACATATCCTAGGAGAGTCCCATCATTTCTCACCTGGCCTACCACATACACATAAACACGTCCTGTCTCCTTGTTCTGGGGTCCAAGGAACATGGGGGCAGCCACAAGTAAGATGTCAGTTGTTCCATCTCTATCTGTATCCAATGGGCAGAGCTCACTGCCAAAGTATGAGCCAATCTGGGGAGTGGCAGGTGGTGATGACCCCAGAGAAAAGGGAAGTGATTGTGGACAACTGGACTCAGTAAGGAAGCACTTACCGGCCTGCCAATCTGGTCCTTACATCCCACACAGACTCTGCCAGTTAGAACTCAGCACAGAGTTTTCAGTCTCTCCCTTGCCCTTCTCACTCTTCTCCTTCAGCTTGGGAGCTCCTGAGGGAGCCAAGGTTCCCGCCCTCCCTTGATGCCATACCTGATCCCCCTGGAGGCTCTGGGCAACCCTCACAGCTCCATCTTTCTTTAGCTGGAAGGCAATAACTTTTCCTCGATGCCTAAACCTAGGAGCCCCTGAGAGAAAGAGGCGGCGTCCACCCGGCAAAAGCATGGAGGAAACGGAGTAACCTAGAAGTGAGTAAGGCATCAGATGTAAAAGGAAAAGAAAATGACCTGAGTGGAGGGGAGGTCCCAAGAGAAACTGCCTGAATTAACCCCTACTAGGGTCTCCTCCTCCCACTCTCCCATCCCCTGCTACCCCTACTCACCAAGGTAGGCTGCATGGTTCTGCAAAGCAGAGGGAAACTCATCTTCTAGGGCCGTTCGTGGGGGGAAAAGACGGTGACCTTCTTCTTCAAGCCATAGCACTGAGCCCCCCCAGTCATAGGCCCCCACCATCCCAAAGAGAATTCCATCCTGAGGGGCAGAACCAAATGGGGACTCTGAGAAGACAGTGGGGACTAAGGAGAAACAAAACTCTCCAGGAGTAAGAAGCTCACTGAAGGCATGCTATGGTCAGAATGACACACAGGTCAGGATGGGGGTTGGTTAAAGGAGGAAACTGGAAGAGAGTTGGGGTGGAAGTTATCTGAGTCATAGGTTAGAAGGAATTATGAAGGGATCAGAGACTGGGAGATGACATGGAAGATCAGAGTCTGTCCAACCTTTAGCCGATGAGTGGAGAAACCAATCTGGGACATTTCCAGCCCGAAGGAACTTTCATTTTCTCCACGGGACCCTTGAGCATGAGAAAATAGCAAGGCACTATCAGGGGAGCTCATTCTACTGAAACCCACCTACAACCAGAACTTCGCCAATCTTGTCCCCCATTTCTCCAGGGTAATCTTTACCTTCAAGGCCAAAAATTCGGTCTCCCAGTGCATCCACAATGTCAGTCAGTGCGGCCTCATCTGTGACATTGAAGAAGAATCGCTCATCTGGGTCACTAGCAATATCTCTGATTTCTCGAAGAAAAGAGCTGGGGTCTCGCTGCCGCCGAAGGTAGTGACCAAGGACCTGAGTTCAAGATGGGAGCTGTTAGCAATGTGAAGTGAGGTGCTAAATTGATGCAGATCAACTAAAGCAAAAGGAGGGAAATAATGGCGAAAGTCCAAGTAGTAATCAATATCCCTGTTTTCTTTAAGCACCCCATCCTCAGTCTTTCCCCATCAATCCCTTTAGATCCAGAATCAATTCTTGGGCTGGGGAGCTGACTCAGTTTGTAAAGTCCTTGCCATGCAAGCCTGATGACCTGGGTTCAGATCCTGAGAACTGCCACCATGGGACATGTGCCACACACCTTTAATCCCAACACCCAGGAGGCAGAGGCAGGCAGATAAAGTCCAGCCTGGTCTACATAGTAAGTTCCAGGCCAGCTGAGGCTACAGGGAGACCCTGTCTCAAAAAAAACAAAACAGCAAAACAAAAAACCCAAACAGATCTCCAGAACCCACATAAAAGTCCAGATGCAGTAGGGCAAGCATCTGTAATCCCCAGCTAGCAGATGGGAGGCTGAGTCAGGAGAATTTCCCAAAGCTTATGGACCAGCTAGCCTGCTTACTGTATGGAGCAGGGAACAAGACACTCTGTCTCAGAATGACGAAAGGCAAGGACCGACACCTGAGGCTGTTGTCTGATCTCCACACACCACACACACCATGGCACATGTGCACATACATATACCACACACAAACATACACGCACACACACACGCACACATACACACACACACCAGAGTCAATTCTCACCGCAATCCCATAACGTGTTACTCTTCCAGCCTCACAGGCCTTTAATGCTGCTGGAAGTTCCTCTCCATCATGGGATTCTCCATCAGTGACAACCACCAGTAGCCTAGCAGCCTCTGGTCTACCCCCTCGGGATTGACTAAACCCTTCTGTGCTGAGAAGAGAAAGAAAAGAATGAGATATGGTCATGTGTACATATACATGTACAGACACAGAGTATTTAACAGGGTCGGCAGTTCACCGAGGTCAGACATCTTGCCTTTTAGGCCATTTCCCGATAGTGTCTAACATACAAACTGGCACAGAGTCACAGCTCAAATGTCTGGATGCCATAGAACATATAGAATAGCATATCATCCGTGTAATACAAAATCCGTTCATTCATAGATTCCTTCAACAAATATTGCCATTTGGTCTGAGACTATTAAGGAAAAGTAGAATAGAGAAGAATGGCCAGAGCAGGGGACTCTCCCCAGAGGTTAGCTTTGGGTCATGTGTAGAAAGAAGGCTAGGGTATGAATGGTGGAAAAGCTGAGGATCAGGATCAAAATAGGAGTAGAGGGGAGAGATAGAGTTCTTTCTGTCTATGGAGATAAACAAAACAAATGGGGAGAAACAGGCACAAACACTTTGTAAAATGCACTAAGAGGGAGTGCAGTGACAGACTGCTTGGCCTTCTCCCATGCACCACTGGCATGCATGTAAAGATAAGATGCAAAGCAGCTTGTGATGTGCACAAGTCACTCCCAACCCTCTCCCTAACTCTGCTAATCCTCCATCACTCTGGCCTCCCACATTCCCCTTCACAATGCCTCACCATGCCACCATTATTGCTTGGGCAGTTCTTGTTTCTCGTCCCTCCCGCCGACTGAGGTTCCTTGCTGCTCTCACCACTTCTTCCTTGGTTCGGAAATCTCCCAGGGACCACTCGTGTACAGAGCTCTCCCCGTACTGTACCAGTCCCACCTGAGAACAAATCGTGCACCCAAGTGGAATGTACGTGGAAGGGGAGACGATGGAGAACAAAAAATAGAGGGGGAAATGAACGCCTATCAGGTGTGTCCAGCCTGAAGCCTGTGGGCTCCATGTAGCCACATGCAGCAGAGGACAGTTATGGATGTGGCCCAATACAAAATCATAAACTTAAGATAGTATGAGATTTTTGTGCATTTTTTTGGTAACTCAATTGCACAATTCTTGAGCATGAGCTCTGTAGAGGACAATGTCAAAAAGTTGGACAGGCCTGATTACACTGAAGATATCACATGTATTAATCTCTTGCCCTCCAAGTCCATCCATATTGCCTTTTCTTACCTGTATCTGCTCCGGATCAATAAACAATCTCCCTACCAGCCTCCGAAGAAAAGTCTGAACTTCAGACCAGGGATAGATACTATTGGAGCCGTCCAAAACGATGACAACATCCATGTATGTGGGACAGCCTAGAAAGGGAGGGGGGATATAGTCATGGGAACCAAAGTCTTAGAAGGGTATTGGGCTGGGGATATCAATGGAAAACATCATAGGATGATACTTCAAGCATTTATTAGGCACCTCTGTCTTACATGAAAGGAAAGTACTATGCCAGGTCCTTAGTAAGTAGAAACAAATTAAAAAAGAGATGGGCATATATGCAATTTACTGGGGGATAAAAAGAATGAAGGCTAGGCATGGTGGTACATGCCTTTAATCTTAGCAATCAGGAGGCAGAGGCAGGCAGAACTCTGTGAATTCAAAGACAGCCTGGTCTACATAGCAAGTTCCAGGCCAGCTGGGGTTACAGAGAGACCTTGCCTCAAAAAGACCAGAAAGAAAAAAAGAATGAAATATGTGTTAGATAAAAGCTAAAAGCATAACACTACCCTCTGCTTGGAACGAGAAGGTCGTGTGTGTGTGTGTGTGTGTGTGTGTGTGTGTGTGTGTGTGTGCTGGGAATCAGACTATGGGCTTCACTCATATTAGGCATATGCTCTACCACTGTACCAGCTGCACACCTCTGGCCCCACAGAGTGATTTCTGACAGTGGAGAGCCAAGGAGGCAACAAAGGCCGGGCATGGCAGTGAATGTCTATAATCCCAGCTCTTGAGAAGCTGAGGCAGGCCAATCCAAAATTCAAGGCCAGTCTAGGTTACATAACAAGACTGTATCCAAAAAAGCAGCAAATAAGGACATAGATTGAAGGACTGAGGATAGAGCTCAGTGGTCAGTACTTATTTGGCATCAGTAAGACCCACAAAGAGAAGATACTGAAGGTGCTAAGAAAATGCATTTGGGTATAGAACATTGTAAACAAAGGAGTACAGAGGTATGGAAATAGGTGACACAGAATGATGAAATAAATGCTACAGCCAAGGCACAGGGTGTGTGTTGTTTAGGGTAAGATGAGTATTTAATTGGTTAGACCAGATCCTGGAGACTTGAAGCCCTGGAAAAGAGTCTAAATTCTACTCTGTTAGGAAACAGGGAACGTTTTTGCAAGCACAGTTGGTAATAACAAGGGTAGCCCTGCAGACCCCTCCACAAAGTATTATACCCTCTCATCCCACTTTTTTCCCACCCAGCACCCCTTCTGGGAACTAGTTCTCAGGCCCTTCCACTGACTCACGTTGGGAAGTAGGTGCCAGGCTTCCCTGGGGTCGGAATGAAGCATCCACACGGGCACATATTCCAGAACTGAAGACAGAGCTGCCACAGGCACGAGACCAGAGAGGGGCACAGGCCTGGGGGTAGATAGGAAATAGTTGTTCCCAGGTTTGAGAGGGCACCCTCAGAACATGCTCTTAGTCCAAGAAGACACTGAGATCACTCCATAGGGTACCCTACCTTGCTCTCTAGGGTTTTGAATTCCTTGACCCATCTACATATGGTTGGTAATTTTCTTTACCATAATGCTCTTTTCTCTACCACAAACCTTCTGAGACCCTTTCTTTAGCTCACCATGAATCCCCCATCACGGTCTGTCTCTAGTAGAGACATTCCCAGATGCATATTCACAGCAGGCTGAGATGAATTTCCCAGTTGATAGTCACCTGGTTGGAGGGGAGTGAAGATAATGAAATCATGGGCTCATAGATAGGTTCAGGGTGGTTTGGGAAGAGATTGAAAAAGGGTTAGTATTAAGTTGGAGGCAGGGACTGTATAGGTGATGGAGGCAAAGAAGCTCATGTACAAGGAGTAATAGTTAATAGTGTCAAAATCAGGGGTTAGCAGGAAAAGAGTCGGGCATCTTCTTACCCAAGTGACCCTTGGCACAAGGGGCATTGTGAGGCTCCCCTATAGTGCAGCGATAAACATCCCCCTTCCGGTCACCTGAAGGCCCATCCCAGGGGGCACCCACCAGCATCCTGGGAGGGGGATGTGAATATAAGCATCAGATGAACATGACCCTTGATAGAGGCCACAGGCCAAGTACATGGAAGTGGCAATTTTAAAGCCCTAGGCACTTTCAAAGACCAGCTTAGAGACCCATCTAGCTCCCCTCCCCTTTATCAGCACTATCATAGACCCAACCCATGCCCTCTGGTTTTCTCCTCACCAGCGCTGTCCACCCCCAACATGCTGTAAAACACTGTATCCAAATTCAGCTTCTGGTGGACCTGTGAATAGGCGTGGGTGATGCACGTCCAGATTAAAGGGGAGGCAGAGACCTGGGGGGCCAGGATCATAAGGTTAGCATGAACTGGTCAGTTGATGAAGAACGGAAGAAGCACAGGCAGAGACCAAGACCTAGGGAATGTTTTCGTCTCAGTGCTTCTTCCTGAGCGTTCCTGGTCTCTGTCAATGTCATGTATGAGAGCCCCAGATGGGATGATTCTCTTCCTGTGTTTGGGTCTTGAGCCCTTTGCCATGTGGAAACAGCTGTATTTCCATTCTCACTCCTGAAATCTCATTCACAGACAAGTCTGGAAGGTCATGTTACTCTTTCCACATCATTCCTCCTACACATCCGCCTCCCTAAGTCATGAGGGTCAAAAGAGGGAGAGGGCCATTCCTTTTAAATGCTTCTAAAAGCCAGGACTACAAGGAGAACAAGAGGAAGGTGAGGAGAGCTGTGTATTTGGGAATCTCTTTTATTTCTTCTGGACATTGTCACACTTTCACTCTCTCCAATGCCTAGATCTTTGGTTACTTCCAGTCCTGGAAACCTCAGTGGTAATTAACTGGGTGGAACCACCCGCTTGCCCACACACAGTCTGCCATTTATCCTTGTCAAGGGTCTTACCACTCCAAAGTTCACCACAATCTGCTCTTTATCACATCACCCTCCCAACTGCCTCTTGCCTACTTCATGATTCCCTCAGATTTTAGCCCACTCCAAAGGTCCCTAATTGTGTCCTGCTGATTCCTTTCTTCTGACCCCAATTCCCTTAAAATCAGAGCTGGTATTTTAGGAAACAAAGATTATAGGGCACTGGTATGGAAAAATTCCAAGCCTCTTGTCCCTCCCATGGTTCTCTTCCTAACTGTGTCTTGCTCCTTATTCTCAAGCAACCACCTCTCAGGCTGCCCCTGCTCTAACTCAAACTACTCACTTTTAGAAAGGTGTTTTGTGTATAAGCCTTTTTGCATCCAGTAAACTGGTAGGGCTGTGTGACCAGGAACCGTAGCTCACTAGTTAGATAAACCCAGAGTTCTGACCACATAGGAAAGCAGTTATACCTCAAGCCCCAAGGACTACCAAGGGCAGGGAGAAGCAGGGATGGTGATAGTAGGGTCAGACTAGCCACATGGAAGGTGAGAAACATGTATCATTTCTGTATCCTTCCTACAGGGTTTAGGACAAAGGTTTTAGATAATTAGGTACAACTGTTAAGGCCCTAGGCAGCTTCAACCCCCAAACTGGCGGCCTAATAATGTGAGCACATTCATGAAATGTAACATCAGTATTAACCCCCTACCCTAACTCCAAAGGTCTTTAGCCCTAATGGTCCCAATTCTACACAACCCACATATTTTCCATTCCCACCAGAAGCCAAGAAGTTAACTGCCCTCACCTGTCAGGAACGTCAGAGGCAAGAACAGGTGAGGGAAAATGGGGCGCTTCATGCCTGGTCCTTCTGTCCTGTGTGAGACGTTTTCTGTGCCTGTTCCTCTCCTTTTCTGCTTTCTTTACTTTCCCTCCTATCCTGCCCCCCTCCCACTGGCCGCTAAAAATAAAGCTGGAAGGAATGGGAGGAGTGATGGTGGGGAACTGTGGGGAGCCCAAGACCAAGGAGGACAGTGATCTTAGTCTATTTCTCTGCCTCACTGCTGCCCCCTGGAGGCATCATCTACTATTCAATGAAAACACAATTTTGTACCCTTTCAGCTGGTGGTTTTTTGTTTTGTTTTCCTACCCTTTACTTGTTCAATAATGATTTCCTCTGATCTAGAACAGAAAGCAGGAGTAGAAGACAGATTTTTTTTGGGGGGGCGGGGGTCTTTTTTGAGACAGGGTCTCCCTGTAGCCCCAGCTGGCCTGGAACTCACTATGTAGACCAGGCTGGCCTTGAACTCAAGAGATTCACCTGCCTCTGCCTCCCAAGTGCTGGGATTAAAGGCATGTGCCATCATGCCCAGCTGAAGGCAGATTATTTTTTATGTTTTTTTTTTTTTTTTGTCTTTTTGGGACAGGGTTTCCCTGTAGCCCCAGCTGTCTTGGAACTCACTATATAGACCAGGCTGACCTTGGACTCACTATATAGACCAGGCTGGCCTTGGACTCACAGAGATCCACCTACCTCTGCCTCCCAAGTGCTGGGACTAAAGCCATGCTCCACCACATCCCATATTTTTGACATACTTATCTCAACTTATGATATGCAAAACAGAAGCTGATAGAGGCAGCAGCATTCCTACCTACAAGGGGAATCCCACTGTATGAACACAGCCCCCAAATCAAACCTTGCAGTCTCATTCCACTGTGTTCTAGTCATGTTCACGGCTTTTAGCCTATGCTGCTTTGTGTTTTTATAGTTTTTGGGGGTCTATATCTTTGAACTGTATGAGGTATGCTTTGTGTAGTCAACGTAATTTCTTTAGCTTAGTCCACCCCTCTCTCAGTTCCATTAAGTTATAAACTTCCCAAGAACTCTGGAAACTTCTTCATGTTGTTTTTGTCTATTACCTAACTACTTTTCCCTACACACCTAGATTGTGAGTGAAAATTTGTCAGTAACACAATGTTAGTTGTCCATCCCATGGTAAACCCACCCATAGTCACAGGAACTAGGGCTTAACATGATCAGAATAGGAGAGATCAGACCAAATGCTAATGAGCAGGTGGGTACAGTGGCACACACCCATTTTCCTAGCTACTTAAAAGGCTGAGGCAGGAGGACTGATAGTTTAAGGCCATCTTGATAACATACTAAGACCCCATCTCAAAACTGAATAAATAAATAAGTCAGTGAGTAAACTTATCTTTAATTTAATGACCTCGAAGTCTTGCTTGCACTGTGGGCATGGACCACAGCTATTTATACAGACTTGTATTATACAATATTTACAGCAAGATGCTATATACAGCATCAATCTGGATAAACAAAGAAGGGGCAAGAACCAGCTAAGAAAGAAGTCCTAAAATCAAAGTGTAAGCAGAAATCTGAAAGCATGGAGCACAGAGAGGGGTTAGGTGCTGAATCCTGAGGGAAGCTGTTGAGGTTAACAGGAAAGAAGCATCAAACAGCCTGTGGTGCAGAGAGGGAGGGAAGTCTACATGACATAAAGTCTTGAAAATTATGATATGGAGTTTGAAGGGAAAAGAAAGTTGTAAGACACCTCAGTGAGAAAAAAAGAAGAAAATCAGAACTTTACAACCCAAAACTTAAACTTCTCTACCAAAAATAATTCTGTTTAAATATTTGGATAGGGTACTGAGAAGGTAAAAAAGAAAGCTGCATCAAGAGACAAAGTACTTTTTTTTTTTTTTTTTTAACAACAGGGTCTCTCTATGTAGTCCTTGCTGGCCTGGAACTCACTATGCAGACTAGGCTGACCTCAAACTCAGAGAGATCTGCCTGCCTCTGCCTCTCTAGTGCTGGGATTAAAGGCATTTGCCACCATGCCCAGCTTGGAGACAAATTCTTAAAACAGACTCAAAACAGATTAAAAAAAAAAAAAAAAAAAAAAAAAAAAAAAAGACAGCCAAGAGCCTTCAACAAAAGCTCAGGCATATGAGAATCATTCTACTGACAAATCATCTTTCCTGACCTTCATTTTCTCCAAGATTCTTCCCTTTGTCCCTAAATATCTGGATTTAAACTTTAATCAAGTAGAATTAGAATGAGGCTGGCACACGGGGGACAATCTAATTCAAGTCCCCTCTTTATCCAGTACCATAATGTTAGGGCTTGAGTCGTAGCCAGGGACAGATTAGAGTAAGAATAGACAGGATGGAGGATATGAGGCCACAAAGTCCCACAATCCCAGGGCCACAACGCCAGAGGCCTAGTTTGTCCAGTGGAATGAAGAGATCACAGGTATTTCTGACCAGGTCCAGTAGAAGAGGGGGATGACCTCGAAGGACCCGAGCCAGCAGCAGGATGTGGAGTCGAAACTTCAGAGCCAGTTGTGGCAGGCATCCCCCAGGAGTCCCTGGTCCCCTGGATCCCCCAGTTTCAACTCCTCCTGGGACTCCTATTCCAGAAACCTTCAATCTCCTGCTATAAGATGAAGTCTCTTGTTCCATCAGTAAGCGAATCTCATAAGCATCACGGCTCAAATTCATGATGAGGGAAAACAAGTAGTACCTGAAATATGCAGGGCAGATGGGTTAGAAAGAGCATGTGTATCTACTGAACATATCCAACACAATACTTAAACATTTTCTTTTTATGTACTACAAAGAGATTCTACACTGGGATATCAGAAGTGAATGCTATAACCCACTATTAGAATGTGCTCCCTGGGGGCAGGCTTAGGGGGTGAAAATCCGGCTTAGGGGTGAAAGCACTTGCCAGACTCTTACGTATCCCAGGCTAACCTAAGAATGTGCTGTTTTCTGTTTGGAAAGTTCTTTTCTTTCTACTGTTTTGTTTAACTACTATTAAGTTTTCAGAACTAAAATATACTTTTTCCAGAGTTTTCCTTGACCCTTTGCTCTAAATTAGCTTTCCTTGTCATGTTATATTATAGCATCATATATTGTTCCACACAGTGAGTAGTTGTTTTAATGAAAAAGAATTATTATTATATTATTATTGTGTGAAAATAAGAGAACGGGCGCATGTATGCTATGGCATGTGTATAGAGGTCCGAGAACCACTTTCCAGAACTGTTTCTCTACTTCCACCACAAGTTTCAGGACTGAACTCAGATCATCAGGATTATCCTGTAAGCACGTTTAACCTGCTGAATTATATCATCAGCCTGGTTATTTGTTTTAATATCTGACACCCTTATTAGACTGCAAGCAAGTCCTAGTTTCTTTTGTTTTTAAAAATTATTTATCTGGGGCTGGAGAGATTGCTCAGTGGTTAAGAGCACTGACTGCTCTTGCAGAGGACCCAGGTTCGATTCCCAGCACCCACATGGTGGCTATGAACTGTCCTTAACTCCAGTTCCAGGGGAATCCAGAGCCCTCTTCTGACCTCCGCAGCATTGTACAACACAAGTGCACTCACATACATGCAGACAATACACTCGTACACATAAAATAAAAATAATATTTTTTAAAATTATTTATCTATTTATTACAATAATGTGTAAGTATAGTATGTGTGTATGATGTGTGTGTGTGTGTGTGTGTGTGTGTGTGTGTGTCTGTGAACAAGTACCATGGTGTATATTTAGAAGTCAGAGGAAAACTTTGTGGAGTCAGTTCTTTCCTTCTACCTTTACTTGGGTTCCAGGGATTGAACTCAGGTCATCAGGTTTGTATGCTATGTGCTTTTACCCAACTGAGCCTTCTTGCCCTAGACTTTAAGCTTCAAGGGAGCACATACATTTGTTTGGCTTTGCTTAATTCCATGGCCCATAGCAAGAAAATAATAAGTGGGGCTGGAGACATAGCTAAGCTGTTAGGGCTAGGTTTGGTTCCCAGCACCCACAGAGTGGCAGGGGATTCAACACCCTCTTCTGGCCTCTGAAGGCACTGCATGACATATATGCAAGCACAACACTCATATGCATAAAATAAAAATAGATAAAAGAAACTAATAGATCTTTTTGGAAAAGCCAAGCACAGTGGCTGTGGTACATGCTTGTGGAGTCCCAGTTACTAAGGAAGCTGAGGTTGTATTGTGTGAACCCAGGAATTCGATACCAGTCTGAACAACATATTGAGACCCCCATCTCTTCATTAGTGTGTGGAGGTGCAACTCTGTGTGTATACATGGGTGCACATGCATGTGAATCCCAGAGTTCAACCTTGGATATCAGTCTTCAGGTGTGGTCAACTTTATTTTTTGAGATAGGGTTTCTCACTTGGCTGGAACTAGCCCATTAGCTTAGGCTGGCTAGCCAGAGAACCCCAGGAATCCTATCTCCACTTCCTCACTGCTGGTATTTGGGTTCTAGGGTTCAAATTCAGGTCTTCATGCGTGCACAGTAAGAACTTTACCAACTGAGCCCCCAGCCCCATGAGATCCCTACCTCTTAAAAGAAGAAGAAAAAAAAAAAAAAAAGCTAGGCATGGTGTCACAATGTCTATAATCCCAGAACTGGGGAGGCTAAAGCAAGAGAATCTTGAGTTCAAGACCAGACTAGGCTACTTAGTGAAACCTATCTCAAAACCAAACAACAACAACAAAAAGACCCCAATTAGCTCAGTGAGTAAAAGAGCCTACTGTAAAACATAATGACCTGAGTTCCATCACTGGGATCCACATGGAGGAAGGAGAGAACTGACTCCCACAAGTTGTCCTCCAGCCTCTACAGGCATGCTGTGGTATGTGTGCCCACACACATACACATGCACAATAATATTAAATAAATATTTAAAAATTTAAAAAAAGAATAAAATGGAATGAGTGGGCAGATAGTGGTGGGGAACTACCTATGGAATTGATATAATTAAAGTGAATAAAATATTTTTTTTTCCAATCTTAGTTATATATCATGAAAAGCAACTGTAACTCCCATTTGAAATTACTTGTTACTTTTTGATGGTTGTGCTGGATAGCTTTAGTGTCAACTTGACACACCTGGATTGAGGGAGCCTCAATCGGGAAATTGCCTCTATTGGACTGGCCTGTGGCCATGTCTGAAGGGCATCTTCTTGATGAGTGATGTGGGAGGGCCCAGCCCACTGTGGGTGGTGCCACCCCTGGGCAGGTGGGCCTGTGTTGCATAAGAAAGCAGGCTGAGCAGGGGCCAAGAGAGCAAGCCTGTAAGCAGCGTTCCTCCATGGCCTGTGCTCCAGCTCCTGCCTCCAGGTTCCTGCCCTGAGTTCCTACCTTGGGCTCCCTGATGAACTGATGTGACCTGGGAGATGTAAGACAAATAAACCCTTTCCTCCCCAAGTTGGTACTGGTCAGAGTGTTTTGTCACAGCAATGAAGAACAAACTAAGACAACATACATCCTTGAGTCCACACTACAGAACTGGGGTCAAAGGTATTTCAAAAAGGATTTAGACTCAACCCGTTTATATATATATATGCATGCCAGGTTTGGTGGCACATGCCTTTATCCCAGTGCTCAAGAAGTAAAAGCAAGCAGATCTCTGTGAGTTCAAGGCCAGCCTTGACGTACATCGTGAGTTCCAGGCCAGCCAGGTCTACATAGTGAGATCTTGCCTCTAAAAAAAAAAAAGCATACACTCACACACACACACACACACAGTCCCCTAGCATCCATTGAGGATTAATTCCAGGATCTTTCCCCACTCTGCCACCCTGCCACCCCCCGTTCTATCAAAATCCAGATGCTAATTCCTTATATGAAATAGTATATTTGATATAACCTACACAATCCTCTGCATTATTTCCAGATTATTAACAATACCTATTACAATATAAATATTATTTAAAGGTGTTACACTATATTGTTTAAGGAATAATGACACAAAAAATGTTTGCATACGTTCAATACAATTTTTTCCTCAACATTTTCAATCTGTGGTTGATTGAATTAATGGATTCGGAATCAGTGGACTTGAAAGGCTAACTGCATACTCTGAGAAAATCCTGAGATATCTTTAATAAAGACAAGTTATGGGCCAACAAGATATCTCAATGGGCAAAAACACTTGTTGGGCAAGCCTGAGGACCTGAATTTGATCCCTGACCCTGATAGAAACCAGAAGTTCCCTGAGACAAATGTCTCACCCTAGCCCCATTGTTAATAGTCACATCCCTATCTCAGGCCTGGTAGAATGCCAGAGAAATGTCTGCAGAAAGCAGGACAATCCACTTCTCTTGCCAGGATATCTCTCAGCTGTCCTTGCTCCATCATTACCAAATTAGCCACAGTTGAGCCACAGCCTGCAACTCCAGGAAAAGGGCCCAAGGATACCCTAACCCAGACTTCACAGCTGTATGTGTGTGGGCGTGTGTGCCTTCTTTATTTTCTAGTCATATATAATTCATTCCCACCCTCTCAGCTTGCTTATCCACACAGAAGCTGTGTAACCTTCACTGAACTAGGAATAAATCCTCTGTTCAGTCTGCTGAAGGTCTGGTCTGCTCTGGTCTTTTACATAAACTTTATTCTTTTTTTGTCCTTCATAAATATAACAGACCCAACTTGGAGTCCAAGGACTCAAGTAGGACCAACTACTCAAAGATGTCCTCTGACTTACATGTGTGTCATGGTGTGCCCCCTCTTCTACAATATTTTTTAATCTTATAAAAAAAGGCAAGCTGGGCTGGAGAGAAGGCTCAGTGGTTAAGAGCACTGACTGCTCTTGCAGAGGACCTGGGTTCGATTCCAAGCACTCACATGGCGGCTATGAACCATCCTTAACAGTTCCAGGGGAATCTAACGCCCTCTTCTGACCTCCACAGCATTGCATGACATGGGTGCACTCATACATGCAGGCAATACACTCATACACATAAAATAAAAATAATAAATATAATATTAAAAAAGATGACCTGCAGGCCTCTCTCTGGGGTATGTCCATCATGCCCTCCACTCCTTGACTCCCCCAGCCTCATTCACCTTCCCATCTCCCCCACGTCTCTCCTCTTAGCCTGGGACTTGTCCCATTCCTTGTCTTGGCACCCCAGACACTGGGGGAACCACCATTGCTTCCTGATCCTTTGCATCCAGACCAACCCAGTTCCTTCTGGGGTTCCCAGGAGCCCTTGGTCCTGGCCCCACCCTCACCTCCCCCTGATTCCCTGGTCTGCACAACCCACCAGCCTCTTTCCTGGACCCGGGGGCTGACCTTTCTGCTTCCTGATCCTCTGCATCCAGAAGAACCCAGTTCCTCAGTGTAGTCCTCAGGAGCCCTTGGGGCCTCTTCCTGCCCCCATCTCCCTTTGCATCTCTGGGTGGCACAGCCACCAGCTGCTCTAGACAAGCATCTTTCCTGGGCCCTGCTCCCAGGCCAGTCCAATCCCCAAATTCCTGAGGCCAAAATCTTTCCTGGAGGGATCCAGACCTTAGGAGAAAGCCTGAGAGCATCTGATCCTCACCTGACTTGGGCCTCTGTGGGAACACCTGAAGACAAAAGCAATCTGGCCACTCCAACATAAAATCAAAAGAGAGAACCGGAAGCTTTGACAAACCAGCTTTTCATGCCCAAAAAGTAAACTACAAAGACACATAAAATTTACAAAAGAAGACCTAAACTTGAAGGCTTG